AGGAGCTAAAAGAGATGGACTTTTTTACTGAATACGGGGACGCTAACAGGTACAAAATTCTTGAAGTCATTGGTAAGGGAAGCTATGGAGTAGTTTGTGCAGCGCTCGACACACACACCGGAGAGAAAGTGGCGATAAAGAAAATACAGGATGTATTCGAGCACATGTCCGATGCAATTAGGATTTTGCGTGAAGTAAAGCTTCTTAGACTTCTTAGACATCCGGACATAGTTGAAATTAAACGTATAATGTTGCCACCATCAAAGAGGGAGTTCAAAGACTTGTTTGTAGTTCTTGAGCTCATGGAGTCAGATCTTCACCAAGTCATCAAAGCTAACGATGACTTAACACGAGAACATCACCAGTTTTTCCTTTACCAAATGCTCCGTGCAATGAAATATATGCATACGGGTAAAGTACTTTTGGCTTGATAGTTGCAAGATTTTATATTGATTGCGGTTGTAAGAGTGCATATTTATACTGATTTCTAAGTTATTGGTTTCAGCCAATGTGTACCATCGTGACCTTAAACCGAAGAATATACTGGCTAACGCAAATTGCAAGCTTAAAGTTTGTGACTTTGGGCTAGCAAGAGTTGCTTTTAGTGACACCCCAACGACAGTCTTCTGGACGGTATGCAGTTCTCTTTTTTCATGCCATCATTCTTTCTTCTACTCAAAGAAGAGCGGATATGCATACTTATATGTACTTATGCATATATATTGTTTTCTGATTCCCCTAGCAGGATTATGTTGCTACACGATGGTATAGAGCTCCAGAGCTTTGTGGATCTTTCTTTTCCAAGGTAGGGCTTTTCCATCTTGTGTGGCCTTTAGTTTAATACGGTGAAGCCTGATATATTGGTGGAGATTTGTTATTTAGCATCTTCTAGTTCACTTACGAGTTCAATCATTGAGATACCATGTCTTGTTTAGGTCATGACTCACTTAGAAAATCAGCTTGTTTTCTTTTGTCTATAAAGAATACTCGAGCTCTTTTTAGTAAACATGAATGCCTGGATTAAAATAATTGTTGTTCAGGGAGGGTTATGTCTGTTTCTCTGCAGTTCCTTTACGGGTGTGTGGATTTTAAATTTTAATCATTTAAGTCTTAAGTTTTTGTCGGAAACTTTTTGCAGTACACACCAGCTATTGATATTTGGGGCATTGGCTGTATCTTCGCCGAGGTATTGATCGGGAAGCCCCTATTTCCTGGAAAAAGTGTCGTTCATCAGTTGGAATTGATAACTGATCTTGTAGGGACACCTTCACCAGAAACAATTTCCGGGGTACGACATCTTGCTTTTTCTCCATTTTGTTGTGTGCATGTGTGTGTGTTTTAGTGCGAATTGGTGATTTTGGTTCACATAAGTGCAGGTTCGAAATGACAAAGCGAGAAAATACTTGTCTGAAATGCGGAAAAAACGTCCTGTGCTGTTTTCACAAAAATTTCCAAATGCAGATCCGTTAGCTGTACGGTTATTGCAGAGGCTGTTAGCATTCGATCCCAAGGACAGGCCAACCGCCGAGGAGGTGGGTTTATCTTATTTTTTTCCGGTCAATAGTAAACAGAACGTTCTTTTTGTTTCATTTCATCACGCTGAAACTTTCTGTATTAATGCAATAGGCTTTAGCCGATCCTTACTTCAAAGGCTTGGCTAAAATCGAGAGGGAACCTTCTTGTCAACCAATCTCGAAAATAGAGTTCGAGTTTGAGAGGCGACGGGTGACAAAGGAGGACATCAGAGAATTAATTTACAGGGAGGCACTAGAATATCATCCTCAGCTGCTCAAAGACTATCTAAATGGACATGAAGGAGCCAATTTTCTTTATCCTAGGTTCGAATACTTTCTAATTATGTAACACATTAACCGATTTGTATCTTGTATTTCCGCTTGATTATAACATAATTTAGTTGTTACAGCCCTGTCTGTCAATTCAAAAAGCAGTTCGCATATCTTGAGGAAAACGGTGGTAAAAGTGTGCCAGTTTTCCCTCCGGAGAGGAAGCATGTGTCCCTCCCAAGGTATTACATGTTCCCGACTACTCGGTTTCTCCGGTTGAATGATATATGGACTCGAAAGAAAATCGCACCTTTTCTCCTCCTCAGCGAGATGCAATTTTACAACTTCAATTCTGTTTATTTCAGGCCTACGGTTCACTCGGATTCTACCCCTGCAAATACACAGCCAACTTCGGTTTCGTGTGAGAATCGAAAAGATACAGAAGCTGATTCCAAAAAAGTAGGGAATGCGATTACTGGTCCTAGGCCAACACGGCCTCCTCCCAGGGTGCCATCAGGTATGAATGAGTGATTTAGGTATGTTGTTATATTCGGTTTCCTTTTGTTGTTTCACCATTTAATCAAGGAGTTCATCCTCCTTTCTGTACAGCGAAGCCTGGGAGAGTTGTCGGATCGGTCGTACCGTACGATGATGGGGAAAACCTTAAAGACGGTAACGAGGCTAAGAACTTCTACAGAAACGCAGTATTTCCTCCACAGAATTTCTCCCCGCATTGTTTCCACATAAATGAAGAGAAACCAGGAATACAGACCGACAAGAATCCGCAAGCCAAACCGCAACCGCAGTTTAGCACGGCGGGAAAACCTGCCATGGGGACAGCTTTCGATAAAAACAGCAACCTCTATCACCGAACTCAGGCCAAGACCGAGCAAAGACTACCCATCGATGCAACACTCCTGAAGGCACAAACCCAGTTCGGTGCAGCCATCGCCGTAGCGGCTCACCGGAATGTAGGGACGGTTCAATACGGATAAACACAAACGGGATCTGTATCATCCGATCGGTCTAGTTAGCTCGAGGGTTCTTTTGTGAAGGGGGGAGGGTCTCTGGGGTTTGCTAGTTAGTTTCCCGTTTATCTAATTTATGTCCTGTAATTAGCATGTGTTGTATCATTGAATTTCTATCAGTGGAATAAAATTGTTTCCTTTTTAGTAGGAATATGAACATTCAGGCTCGAAGATGAAATGAAAGATAATGTCAAAGTTAATCTAAATATTTACTAGAATAATCATTTTAGTCCATATTTTTCCGAAGCATTTGAACCCTAACAATTCAATTTTTGATTAAAATGATTCATGTTGATTGAAAATCGTTAGTTAACTAACATTTAACACATCATTGATGTGATTTTTTCACATGTCGTCAATTACTTATGTGTTTAATGTCATATTATTATTTAAATGATGTGATATATGACACATCATTAATTTAACACATGAAAATATCACGTCAGCAATATAGATTTATGATTAGTCAGTTAACAACAGTTGCCATCTAACATAAATTATTTTGATCGAAAATTAAAATATCAAAATAAAGGGTAAAGTATACAAATAGTCCTCTAATTATAGGATGTTGTTTAGTTGAGTTATATAACTATTAAAAATTACAAAATGGTCCTCTAACTATATAGCATTGCATTGTTAAGTCCCTCAACTATTAAAAGTTTTAAAATGGCCACTCGACTATTCATTATGCTCCAAACTCGTTTTTTTCGTTAAAAATTGATGGCAGTCTGAGTTGGATCTTAACCTACTGACTAATATATGATAAAATCTGATCTCATAATCTCAAACGACTATCATATCTCAATCAACATGTTAACGTACACCTCAGACAACCGATAATATTTTAATAGAAAAGGACGAATTTGGAACTTAATGAATAGTCAACGACTATTTTGTAACTTTTAACAGTCGTGGAACTCAAGTACTCAACAAAGCAATGACCTATAATCGATGGATCATTTTGTAACTTTTAATAGTAAAGGGACTTCAAAAAATAATATCCTATAATTGAAGGACCATTTGTGTACTTTATCTTGAAATAAAATGTTTCAAAAAATTAAAATGATCACTAATTAAGCATTAGGATTAATTTTAGCATTATGCCATTCGATAATAAAATTAATAAATTTTCTTAGCTTCCAATGATATTAAAGGGGATAATACAAAACCCCTAGCATGTCTCGTGAATAATTCCAAAACGGTGCAATTGTATTTCCCAACGGCTAAAACACCATTGAAAACTTGCAGTCAATAGGTCACTTCCCCTAACCAGCGGTGGTCCTCATGTGACAACTCACGTACCATCATCTAAATTCCTATATTCATATCATATAAATTTTAGGGTAAAGTACACAAATGGTCCCCCAATTATAGGATAATATTTTATTAAGTTCTTCAACTATTAAAAACTATAAAACGGTCATTCGACTATAAGGTGTTGCTTTGTTGAGTCCCTCAACTATTAAAAGTTATAAAATAGTTACATGATTATTCATATGTTCTAAATTTGTTCTTTTTCATTAGAAAATGACGATTGTTTGAGTTAGACGTTAACATATTGAACAGGCATGTCCCAAATGATATAGAGGTCTTGTATTACTTTTTAAAATGAGGCTTCTAAAATATTTTTTTTGAGAACTAAACGAAAAATATATTTTTTCTTCGAACGAAAATGTCATTAGGGCACAAATATAATACATAGACGTCCTAAATGACATTTATGGGTGAGGCTCCTAAATTTTGGGACCTTGTGACGGATCACATGTTACACTTATCATTGGACAGACATAATATTAACTGTGACATGATAGTTTTTTGAGATTCTGAAATCAAATTTTATTATATCTCAGTCATCAGGTTAGCGTCTAGCTCAAATTATCGTCAATTTTAACAGAAAAAGAGGAGTTTGGAACATATAAATAATAGGATGACCATTTTATAACTTTTAATAGTAAGAGAATTCAACAAAGTAACGTCCTATAATCAAATGATCACTTTATGACTTTTAATAGTTGAAGACTCAACAAAACAGTACCTTATAATCGATATATTATTTATGTAATTTACCCTAAATTTTAATACATTCCTATTTTTATTCGTATTCATATTACTTTTTGGTATCTTCCACCGTACATGCATATATGTTTCATGACCTTTTTCCTTCTTCCCGTGTGATTCCAAGACGACAATCGATGGAAGCTTTATGGAGTTTGGAGGAGAAATGGAAACTCACGACACAAGAAGATGTGATCGTCGTCGTTTGTGCTGCTTCCGCCATTGTCGGGCTTTGCGCAGCCGCGGTTCTGAAAAAAAAGGCTCGGAAGAAGCCGGTGGAGGACGGAGACGCGGTGTCGGAACGTTCGACGAATGCGAAATGGTGTGAGCCGAGTTGTTGTTGGGTTTCGAAGAGGGTGATGTGGAGTGGGGCTAAACAGTGGGAGGAGAGGAAGTCGCCGTTGCTGGGATTGGAAGAGTACGGCGGCGGTGTGGGGTGGATGAGCCAGAACTCAGAGTCGCCAGTGTGGCAACGATCGATACTCATGGGGGAAAATGCGAGCTGCCGCGGTTTAGCGAACTGTTTTTGTACGATGAAAGAGGGCAGTTGCTTGATGATTCCATTGAGAGAAGTTCCAACCAGGGAGATTATCACCAGGTGATTTCATTAGTTCTTTGTAACACCCTCAATCCGTACCCGACCCGGATACGAGTCCGAGATGTCACATTGACTTTTTAAAACAATTTTCTTACAGAATAATAAAACATTTAAACTGATATTAAGAAAAATACAATAATATACTATCAAATTAAGCTTCATTATAAAAATTTAAGTCAAAACGTATTTATGAATAATACTATATGGTATGAATAGTACCGTGAACAGTAATGAACAATACCATGAACAGTGCATCGATGCATTGCTACAGTGCACCGATGCACTAAAATTTCGAAGCAAAATTGCGCATCGATGCACTGCTACAGTGACTTTCGTAAAACGTTCATAAAACTCGTAAAAATTTAATCGTTTATTACTATACATTTACATTTACATAAATACGTTTAAAACATTACAAAACTTGATCAGAGCATAAATACTTAATTTACCAACTTTGTTTACATGCCAACCTATTTTCACATAATAAGACATACTATTTAATCTACTTCTGATCTGACCTTCAAGTGGAGTTATGTTGTTTTGCTGAGCTTATAATGGATCTCTCTGCTTTTCGGTACCTACGTGTAAAACACTTACACGCTAAGTCATAGACTTAGTGAGGCATAACATATAATAATAATAATAATGCATTTCATATACATATGAAAATATCATCACTTATTCAATCATGTCATATATAATTCCATGTAAATAATAATAATAACATGATAACATGTAATAATGCAAACACTTTTTATACCTTTTGTAAGCTCATGTACATTACTGAGAACTTAAGGTATTTGAGTACATTGAGGTTGTGCACCACTATGCTGTCACCACAGCTCGTATAAATGTCTCGAATGACCTATCCAAAGGTCATAAAGAACCTCGGCAACTGTCCATAGGTCCCGAAGAACCTAGGTAAATTGTCTATATGTTCCTTAGAACATAGGTAATCCTGTCCATATGTCCCGAAAGACATACGTAAACCCTCGACTCTTGGCATGCCAACTATACCTATATCTCTCGTATCATATACTATGGGCATTCATTTTTATGTTTCATATGCTCATGTACTCATGTCATTTCTCTTGTGATCACATATACTTTTCCTTCTGTCACATACCATATGTATGTGTAAACATCTATGCCATTTCATATAACATATAATACATATTCATGTAAGCATGTATATCATGTCACATATAATATACTATATCCATTTTCATATATTCATGCACATATAATAATCACAAATCAAATAACAATTTAGGAGTCACTTCTTACCATAGTAACTCCATCACTGGCTCATAGCAAGTCAATGTTCGTTCAATAATATAAGTACAATTAAAATGACACTCACCTTAATCCTTCGATTGTTCCGGAATTCGTTTAGGCTCTGTATCTACATAAATATAATTTTCAAGATGATTATCAGGAGCCTAAACTTTATACTTCGATGCTATTAACTTAAACGAATTTAATAAACTCATATTCCTAATTTCGTTTAGGAGTGTACCGATGCACTATGGATTCATCAGTACCCAAATTAGGTTCGAAATTCTCATGCATCGATGCACCCCTTAATGCATCGATGCACATTCAAATTTGGTCTTAGTGCATCGGTGCCCATTCATAATGCATCGATGCACATGCCAATAATAAACTGGTTTAACCCAAAAATTCCATAACTTTTCATTAAATTTCCTCATATAAAACTCCTTTCATACCACTAAACTCAACTACAACCATTTTAACTAACTTTTATCATTCCAACACTTTATAATCTCTCATATCTCATTCAAATTCTTAAAACTAAGAATCATACCAAAATTTCCATGTAATCCAAACTTATTTCTAACACTTATAGCTTATTATTCATACCTATGACAAGTCAAATTCAACTTCTAAATCCATTTATACATCCTTATTCAAAATTTCACTTATCCACTTCCTATCTTTAATCCTTTATAACTTACAAATCTTTGAGTTTCTAAGTCCCTTTTTCCTTCCATCGTGTTTCCTAAAGCTTCATGAATCAAAACCATGCTTGAATTTGAAGGATTAATCGAAAGAAAATCAACTCACCTTGGCTTGGGTTTCACGTTGGAGAGGAAAAAGATGAAGAAGGAAGAGTACCTAAATTATGATTCACAGGGTTTATAAAATACCCACTATCATTATTTTATTCCTTTCTTTGTTCAATGACCCTTTTGCCCCTTTCATTCTCTTTCATTTATTAATTCATCCTACACCAAATACTTCAATTAAATCTTTAAATTTCTCAATTTATCTAATTTGGTCATTGAAATTTTAAATTTACACACTTTGGTCACTAACTCGGTATTGAGGATGTTACATTCTTCCTTGTTTTTTTAATCAGCATCAAAAGTTACAAAATTACAAAAATATTGCTCGATTATTCATTACGTTCTAAATTCATATTTTCTTCGTTAAAATATTAACGGTCGTCTAAGTTGGGCGTTAATATGTTAATTGAACTATAATAATCGTTTCAGATTATAACATCAGATTTTATCATATCTCAATCACCACATTCACAATTTTTAATGGAAAATAACGATTTTGTGACATAGTGAGTAGTCAGATGACCATTTTATAACTTTTAATAGTCAATTAACTCAACAAAAGGACGCCCTACAATCGAGAGATCATTTTTTTAATAATCGGGTACTCAATATCGCAACCTTGGTAATGTTCTTGTAGGGGAAATCCAGTGCAGTGGTGAGAACAACACTAAGGGACCTCTAGTTTTTCTACTCAACTAAAAGTTTTTCCAGGAATGTAATTGAAGCTGTTTTTTTTTTTACAAATTATTCTATTAGATCTTATATTTCGAAACATAATTCCGATTACGAGAATCTTTGAACGATCATCTCTCTTTTTAATTCGGACTTTGCTTTCATCCTGAAAAGATAAGTACTTTGGGATACATGTAGCTTAATTTGAACATCAATTTATTATTGGATTAATATAAAAATAAATATTCAAATTTTATCTCGAAATACGTTTAGTGTCTTAAATAATTTTTCATTAAAAGTAGGTGTATAACGTTTTCTCAGTTATACTTTTAGATGCATACAATTTATTTTTAATTTTTTTAATAATAAAAATATTATTTTTAATTAAAAATAAATTTTTTTAATTAATTTATAAAAAAAACCTCAATTTTTCACTAAAATTATATAAAAAAAAGCCCCAAAAAAAATTAAAATCTCTCATTTCAACCCCATTGTCAACTATCGTCGACCATCTTCGGCCACCATCGTCATCGCCAAACGGTCACCCACCCGTCACTACCCACCCATTGATTAATCGTCGTCCTTACCGTCACCCAAAATCCCTAAATCTAAAATCTCCAATATACAAATCCTTGATCCCCAATTTCAATTTTTTAACCCAAATGGTCGCCGACCATCATCGTCGCCGTTGAACGGATGTGTTTTGATCGGAATAGCATGGTGGTTCAAATGGTGGCGGCGGTGTGGCTTACAGACATCGGAATCGGTGAAGAACGACGACAGAGGCTTAAGATCTGACGAATCTTTGAACACTCTTCCAAGACAAATGATGACATATTACGACAAAAGACCAACAAGGATTTGATCAGGGGTCGACATCGATGACGGTGACAATCACTGCTGGTCGGCCGACAACTTTTGCAAGGGGAAAGGGGAGGGGAGTTGCACGGGGTTTCTGTTTTGAATTGTGGGGTTTTTTTTACAATTTTTTTAAAATAAATTTTCAAAATTCCAGAATGTGACATGTGTCACTTAGCGGAGATATTTAACAACAGTTAATGTTAGGACACCCAAAGATATAAAGCTTAAAACTTTACATACTTATTTTTAGCGAATTTTTTTTAAACATTAAAATGTATTTTGACACAAATTTTGGAGACATTTTTGTATTAAACCTTTATTATTTAATCATTTTAAGCATATTGTATATCGTTTTAAAAGTCTCATAGAGGAGAATAGAAAATCATAATTTCATTATTCAAATCTTCAACTTTTACCAATAAATAATAGGGTGAAGTACACAAATGATTCCCAACTATAGGATGTTGTTTTGTTGAGTTCCCGATTATTAAATGTTATGAAATTGTCCCTTAACTATGGGTCATTGCTTTATTGAGTCTCTGACTATTAAAAGTTATGAAATAATCACCTGATTATTCATATGTTATAAAGTCATCATTTTTTATTAAAAAATAGAGACAGTCTGAGTTTGATGTTAGCCTACTTAATGTGATATGATAAAATATGATCCTAAAATCTCTATTATATCTCAATCAACAAGTTAACGTTCAACTCAGACTGTCATAAGTTTTTTTAACGAAAATAGAAGAGTTTTGAACATATGAATAGTCGATGTGATCATTTTATAATTTTTAATATTCAAAAGACCCAACAAAGTAACATCCTATAATTGAGGATTATTTTATAACTTTTAATAATCGAAAGACTCAATAAAGTAGCGTCCTATACTCGAGATACCATTTGTATACTTTACACTAAATAATATACCTCATGGTCCAAAACAATCTATTATTTTCCAACTATCATTAACCCTTCATTTTTCTTGGTGTATTCATTCATGTCCAACACATGTTCGAACATTCGTATTTCAACACATATCCAATCATTGACACAAACCCGGACTGCCGGCGAACAAATTTGTCCGGACGAAGAATCGGAACATGCTCCGAACAATACGGTGAACGAGATCGGACATCAAGATTCCGGTCACAACAGCGAAAAACCTTCCGAGAAAAAGCAAGAGTCACGAATGTGACACCATGAGTGGTCCTCTGCATTCTTCAATACACTTTGCTTTATAATGGAAGTACAACGCGAGTTGTAGAATCCCCAACACAGTTCCGACCCCATTCGGAACCTGAAAAACAAAGAGACGATGTTACCTCACAGAACCAACAACTTTTAAATCGAAAATAAGTTGTTGTCGTCGTCTTCGATGAGGCTTATGTAGACAAAGGCATCGAAGTTAAAGACGCCGTATAGGAAGAACGAGGTGCTCATCAAGAACGTCGAGAGGGAGAGATAGAACGGCATGAACTCGACACTCTTCGTTCGAATAACTAAATTCTGGGAACAAATATCATGTCATTAGAAGCTTAAGAAATCCCGAAAACAATTGAAATTCGAATGTATGAAAGGCGTGTTTGATCGAACGACTCACGATTATGAACAATGGGGAAGCGAACATCGATATGAGAGAAGCACAACTTAATAAACCGACGAAGCACCTTCGTGTTCCTCGGTCAGCTATTTGTAAGCTCCCGGCAACTATGATCGCCATAAGGCCAAAAACTGCAAGTAGCAATCCGAGCATCCTGATCTGCCCATCGACACGCAGAATGTGAGTATCAGTGGAAACCAACACCTACTTTACCCGAATTTCTTGTTTTTCTTTGTCGAAACTCGAAACCGTTTTGTAATTCGAAAAAGAGTTCAAATTAACATAACAAGTGCATTCAAGTTCCAATTACCTTGTAATCATTCTAAACTAATCGAAAAAGAGTTTAAATTAGATAATAACCTTTTTCTCTCTATTGGCATATACGATGAAGACGACAATGTAGGTTATTTGAAAAACCGAACCGATCGAGTTAACCATCATAACCGGCACATTGTCATAAGATATCAATGGTGTTCCATACCAGGTGCAGATCAAGCAGTTCAAGAGAGCATATACACAAGGCAACCCAGAAAAGCTCTCGGTGGACTTGTTTCTCACAATTCTTTTAAACGTGGGTCTGAAAAGTTAAAAAAAAAAAAAGCAGGGACCGGAACTAATTAGAGGATAATTCTTACAGCTTGGATTAAAAGTACTTGGAAAGTAGAACATACATGGGGGAAACGAACAGCCCGAAAGCAAATATGTTCCCTGTAATAAGCAAGGACCGAGATCAGATTGAAGAATCAAAGGAACACCAGACGAATACTTGACTAGTGGGACACTTTCAATTAGGGGTAAATAAATTCAACATACGATGAATTGTTCGTGAATCGTTCATATAATATTTGTTTATGTTTACTTATTAAGTTAAATAAATGAGTATGAATAAAACTTCTAATGTTCATTTAATAAATGAACGAACACGAACAATTGTTTTAGTTTAAATTATATTCACGAACAAACTCATTTATAAGTTTATTTATCGACTCGTTTACTTGGTTCTTTAACTTATGTTTTTTTACTTTTTAAATAGGCTTATATAACAAATAAATACATAAAATATATCATCTTTTTCATTTAAGTACCTAAAGTATTTCTTGGTCAAAATAAGTACCTAAAGTTATCTTTTTTTTTTTTTGTCAAAACATGTACCTAAAATATTCAAATATTTTCATCTAAGTACCTAAAGTATTCTTTAATTAATGTCACTTGTCAACTTTTTTAGAACTTAAATAAGAAAGTTTGAATAGTTTAGGTACCTATTTTGACATAAAAGACCTATTTTGATTAAAAAAAATATAACTTTAGATATTTATTTTGAACAAAAAATGCTTTAAGTACTTAAATGAAGAAGAGCTTATACTTTTGGTACTTGTTTGTGATATAAGTCTTTTAAATATTTGTGAATGTAGAAACTAAATCAAATATAAAGTGAAGTTTAAAGTTCAAACTATGCAATATAATGAGTTTAAGGACTAATGGCATAAATTCACCATTTTTCTTTGACTTTTAGAATAGATTACTGGTTGTCTAGAGGAGTCATATAAACGAATATTTTAAGTAATAAATATGTTGATAAAACCTTAAAAAAAATAAACGAAAATCTTTAAAAATAAATAACCGAACACATTATTAAAAATTAAAATAGATAGATCGAACACGAACACCTTAAAAAACAAATAAATAATTCATAATCTTATTAGTATCATTCGCACCCTACTTTCAACTCAATCAGAGAAATGAAGAACTTTGTAATCAGATCAGTTCATCTTCAAGAATGGAGTGATGGGTAATTTTGAATGCAATCAAACAAACAAGAAAACTTAACAAAAATTGTAATCAGATCAGCGTTCTAATGGAAATAAGTCGGCTTCACAAGAACAAGAAAAAGAAGATGAAAGCTATATTACCAGCGATGCCGGCTGCATCCCTGCAAATTGTGAAGGTGTCGTCCCGAATGGAAAGAAACATGAACGAGGAAATTTTCTTGCCGACAGAAAGTTGATGAAAGAGAAAACAGAGAATCAGACCGAAATTTTCAAACAAAAGAGTGATTTGTCTCAGGAGAAAGAAACAAGCTTCCATGTCCTTTTACAGATATGTTTAAGACAATTCTGTCTAGCTCATTTTCCTTTCGTTTTCGTGGGAGTTTATGGTTCGAAAGTTTTCTGAAATTTTGCAAAAATAAAAGGGAAAATTACACTATTTCTTTCTGAACTTTACTTTCTCTTCTATTTTCCTCACTCAACTTTCAATTTGATCAATTTACTCATTGAACTTTACAATGGGATGGTTGGATTTTTTTCTCAACCGTTTTCTCTCTAACAACTGATGACGTGGATTTTTTTATTTAATATAAAATAATTAAAAAAATAAAATAAAAACAAAAGGTGGTTGGATTTCACCGTCGACAACTGTAGGTGGTGGCCTTTCAGTCCTAAAATGGGATGAGTCGCTTCTCCTCGGCACCTTGAGTCCGAATACGACCTCCATTTTGTCAGAACTTGCTCCGAATTCCATGAATTTGAGTTTGCAACTGAAGAAACTGAAACATTTCAGTCCAAATTCATGGGTTTTGGGACATTTTTAGGTTAAATAACCACCAAATTCGGACTTAGGGGGTCGAGATGAATCGACCCATGAAATTTAGGACGGAATGGACACCATCTACGGCGATCGAAGGTGGCCGAAATGATAATGACATGGTGGCCGACAGAGAGAAAATGAAGAAGAGAAGGAAAAATGGTAAATTATACCATGAGTCAGTGAACTCTACTCTCTCTCATATTTTACTCATCGAAACAATGTCGTTTTGGAGTATATTTGAGTTTTTCAAAACGACGTCATTTTGATGCATGTGCCATATCATAACTGCGTTAAATAGTTAATGACAAAGTAAGCAAAATGATTCAATCTGTAAAGTTCAATGAGCAAATTGATCAAATTGAAAGATGGGTGAGGAAAATAAGAGAGAGAGTAAAGTTAATTGAGAAATAGTATAATTTACCCAAAATAAAATAATAAAAAATAGTAAAGAAATCGTGTCTGACACATACTTCATGTGCCACCACTGAATGCCAATTATGGTATAAACCACTTATCCTTGTGCAGTTTATCAGTATAATATAAGGGTAAACTATATCATTATCGTTGAATTTTAGATTATATCTCGTTTATAACATTAAATTTTGACTTAATATATTTTTAGTGCCTAAACTATAACTCAAAATACGATTTGGTGTCTAAAGAATTTTTTGCTAACAATAGGTGTCTGTCATTTTCTCCGTTACACTTTTAAGTGTCTACTATTATAATTTTATATTTTTAATAATAAAAATATTGTTTTTTAAAAAATAAAAAAATATCATACTCCCCTTGACGTCGTCCCTCTCCCTCCTACTCCCATCCCCCCACCTTTGACGGTGAAGGGTTACCACCGATCGAATTTTGTTCAGAGCAAGATGAGGAACTCAACGGTGGTGACTGTGTAACGTACGGAAGGTTGTAGCTATTGAAATTGTCGGAAAATATCATCGAAAAACCTAAAAATTTGACAACCCTTCGCGATATCGGCGCAATTTCACTATAGGTGGGGGATTGGGTTTTGATCACGACGGCGAGACGGTTTTGATGGTGTCAACAGTGACAACCTCAAATCGAGAGTGGTCGATCGATGACAAAAGATGTTAAATTTGGGGATTTTTTTAGTTTTTTTAATTATAATATTGTGGAAAAAATATTTTTTGAACATTTATATGCGTGACATGTGTCGGATAACGACTAAATTTAATGGCTGTTACGATCCATACACCTAAAAGTGTAACGTTGGAAACGTTAGGAACCTATTGTTACCAAAAAAATTCTTTAAGCACCAAATCATATTTTGAGATATAGTTTAGGCACTGAAAAGTGTATTAAGCCTTAAACTTTTGATGTTTCAATTATAGTATTTAACTTTAGTTTTGACTTTAATTATAATATTGTGTCGTTAAAATTCAAACAATGTAATGATATGGACGAAACGATATTGTTTTTGTGTGGCTATTGTAGTCTAAAATGACGTCGTTTTACACATTGAACTATAGGGATATTTTGATTTTACGACTAAACTTTTAAACGAATCACTTTTTGCATTGAAATCTTCTAGCCTCCACAGGTAGTGAATCATTGCTCATCACCGGTATTCATTCATGACAAAATTCATACCAAACATTCATATTTCACTTATCTTTCTTCTCATTAGCTTTGTTTTTCATAAAATCCACCCAAAATCGACGATTACAAATTAGGAATTTAATCACACCATTAACAGAAAAGTACCTAATTGAATAAAAGACAGAGTTGATTGTTGCATTACACATAAATACCAAAATCAAATATGTAAAATTATAGGGTAAACTACACATTTAGTACTTAAACTATTAGTTTCAGTTCATTTTAATACTTAAATTTTTAATTTTTTCAAAACCATACCTATTTTTTAGTTTTCATTTCATTTTAAAATTTAACACGTTTGGTACCTAAACTATCAATTTTGGTCCAATTTAATACCTAAACTTTCAATCTTTTCAAAACTTAACATTAAATTTTGAACGGGATACTAAATGAAACAAAAACTAAACTTTGGTATGATTTTGAACAAAAGTAAAAGTTTAATTACTGAAACGGATTAAGACTGATAGTTTAAATACTAAATATGTAATTTAGCCAAAATTGTATATACCCTTGTTTAATCTGTAATTATCACTATTCTACTTTCAACGCAAGTTACGGGTTTCTTTTGGCTTTTTGCTGTATATTTTATTTGGCACGTGTTCTTTTTTAACTTTCAGACAGAAAATGGTGAGCTGGCAGGTCCCACCCAGCTGTTAATCTTATACTCTACATTATCAATATATCAATAAATATGGTGTAACGAAAAATAACCTAATTTAAGGTTGAAAAAAAAATGCGATCGAAAATATTATAAAAATTATAAATTTTTTAAATTGAATGTAACATAAAATCTTAACTTTTTGTGAATATTTTTCGGTTGAAAATCTTTCTTATAATATTTTTGTTTGACAATCGATAATGTTATCTTATATTTAATATTTTCGGTTTAATAAAAAATGTTAAAAAATTAATATTTTAAGTTGCGTCTAATCGAAAATATAATAATTTTATTAATATTTTTGGTTGTGTCTATTTTTTATCGTTCTTTAACCTTAAATTAGATTGTCGTGGGAAGAACTACTACCTTTATAATTGTATATTTAACCATTTTAAAACTTCATCTGATGATAGTTTTAGATTAACATTTCTAATTATTTATTTGATATAAACACTCTCATCGTTAAATATATGAAATTATTTAAATCATGGCCGTTGATTGAAATTGAAAATAATTAGAATGTGTTCTTTGTTGCATATCACTATTTTTTTAAAGAAATTTCACCATTCATCCAAAAATTTATATACCATAATTAATTATCAATTACTCTAATAAGATTAGGTGTTAAATTCATTAAGTAACGCCCATAAATCAGAGTCGGTGTCGTAAGTAGAACAAACTGAATTGTGATGAACAATCTTATAATAAATTTTTATAATACAAAAATTGATATTATTTGACTGATAAATCATATATTAAATAATGTTAGGATTTATGAAGCTCGATCGATCAATCGAAATATGCCAAGAGGGGGTGAATTGAATTTTTGAAAATTTAGGGAGTAAGGAGAGAAATGATAGACAATTTGCACAATGATTTATAATAGTTCAACTTCCTCAATAAAGTCTACATCCACTATCTAAGCTTCTTACTTAGGATTTTTCAACAAATCCACTAATTTGTTCTTTATTTTTCAAGGATCAAGAGTAACATTTACAACTCCCTAGTTTTTCATTTAGCTAAACTAGAATCAAAATCCCTTAACAAAAAAAAATGGTTGTCCCTTGTTCTCATATGTAATGGGGTAAGGGGGAGGTAAGATAGTAGGCTGCCCCCAACACTAGGTTGAGAGCAGCTTCCGTGAGAGACCTCCAAATTATGAAATGCCCTCCATGGGACTCGATCCCACGACCTCAAAGTTAAGAACCTTGTGCTCTACCAACTGAGTTGGATGGTCATTTTCCAAAATTCCTTAACAAAGGATAAGAAATGTGTAAACAAGAAGACCTTTCTAGGTAGGTGTTTACAAAGATTTAGCTCACAAGAACAAAACCTAAGGTTTATACAATTGAACTTTTCTCTTGTGTTTAATTGCTTGGATAGATGTTATTAACCTTCTTCAAGTGTCTTGAACTTGTTTTTATATATTTGAATGAATTACTAGCCATTTCTAGCCGTTTGGTAAGGTTTGGAGCCATCGGAAGACTTTCTGCAGTTTCGAAACTTTGGGGAAAGTTTCGAAACTCTTCGAAAGAGCCACTGGAAAAATTTGACCGTTGGAGCCAAAGTATCGAAACTTAAGAAAAGTTTCGAAACTCTTGAGATAGTTTCGAAACTCTTGAAAAGTATCGAAACTTTTTAGGAAACTATCTTGGAAAGTTTCGAAACTTATGGTCAAAACACTCGTTTTAAGTTTTTGATTGGACTTTAAATTATTTTGAAGAAAACTTTGAATAAATTCAATTTAATCCAAAAACATTTTGTCCTTATTTGTTATATCAAAATATTTGTACTACAAATGATTATTTTAAAAACATTTAATAGATAATTATTTGAAATGATTTTAATATAACAGAAGTGTAGATTTTAATTTAACTCAAAAAATTGCAAGGGCTAAACTATTGTGTAACCTAGAAGGTCAATTTTAGCCTAATACTATAGGCGGACTAATTATTTAGTTAAATCCGACATAAAATAATTTATTTAGGGATTTACGATATTTATTATAGTAGTTTGAAACTCATCATATCGACGTGTCGAGTTTTAATAAAAATATTGACATGACAAGTTTGAATAAAAAAATTTATTTGAGAAAATTTATCACCTCAACGTGATGAGTTCTTTGAACACCGTAACAAATTTTTGTTGATCTCAAAATAATTTTTTTTATGATCTATTGGACTAATTAATAAGACTGTTTGTCCTATTGGGCCAAAAATAAAAACCACCTAGGAGGGCTACTGCTTCGTCCTTCGCTTCAAATTTCTCTCTTTTATATCTAATCTCTGGAATTAGTTAGCGATTGTTAATTCTGGATTCTTGCTGATTTCTCCTCAACTCGTAAGTTCATATTTTCTCATTTTTTCAGTGTTATTTGATGGACGATCAATTGTGATCCTTGATCGTGTTCGTTAGCTAATTTGATGATTTTAGATTAATTGAGATCGTTTTCTGATATGGGTATTTCTCAGTTTTCTAAGGTCTGTTCTTAAATGTGAGAAAATTCCATGTATTTGGATTGGATTGCTTTTTTATCTGTTACTTATGGCTGCACTTATTTGCTTGTTAATTGGATCTGGATCTCTTTTCCTATATATATATATATATATATATATGGATAAACTACACCAGATACACAGAACTTTAGGGGTTGTATCATTTATACCTTTGAACTTCGATTTTGCCAATTATAGCTCTAAATTTTGATTTTTATTTCAATTATACCACTGGGCCATCCTTAAAGTCGGATCAAGCCGATGCCGTTTCGGTGAGGTGTCTACATAGGCAGTCGTCTTCCATGTTCGTTAATGATTTAACAGTTCAATGGTATAATTGAAACAAAAATCAAAAGTTCAAAAGATAAAACACCTAAAGTTCAGTAGTGTATGATGTAGTTACCCTATATATATGTATATATGATGGAATTGGATCTGATAACTAAGATGGTTTCATAAACTTTTGGATCGTTTTCTTCTTCTTTGTTCCTTGAACTTTGATTGCTGATATTGAATTGAAAGAGATGACTGAAATAAATTCAGACCAAAACAAATCTGATATATATTTACACACTTATGTATGTATGTTGTGTATTGTAATGTGATTTGATTGCACTGATGATATTAGCCAGCCACCTATGCTCTTTGTTGCTCTTTATCTGGTTTTGGATTTGCACATGTATCATGTTTATTTTATGTTTGGTCATAGTTTCTGGGTTTATATTTTTGTGTATTTGTTTATGCGAGTTGGTGCTGATTTTTATTATAACTTTCCATAGCTCTGAAAGTAGGCTGTGTATTTCTTTTTTGTAGAATTAAATATGGCTTCTTTTACGCCCAAGAATATCCTGATAACTGGGGCTGCTGGGTTTATTGCATCTCATGTTGCCAATCGGCTCGTTCGGAACTACCCGGACTACAAGATTGTTGTACTCGATAAGCTTGATTACTGCTCGAACCTTAAAAATCTAATTCCTTCAAAGTCATCCCCGAACTTCAAGTTTGTGAAGGGGGACATTGAAAGCGCTGATCTCGTTAACTATCTGCTTATCACCGAGTCTATTGACACGATAATGCACTTTGCGGCGCAAACTCATGTTGATAATTCATTTGGGAACAGTTTTGAGTTTACGAAGAACAATATTTATGGCACTCATGTCCTGCTTGAAGCCTGCAAAGTCACTGGTCAGATCAGGAGGTTCATTCATGTCAGCACCGATGAGGTTTACGGGGAGACGGATGAGGATGCTGTTGTTGGAAACCATGAGGCTTCCCAACTTCTCCCGACAAATCCGTATTCGGCAACAAAAGCCGGTGCTGAAATGCTTGTTATGGCATATGGCAGGTCGTATGGATTACCAGTTATTACGACCCGTGGAAACAATGTTTATGGTCCCAATCAGTTCCCGGAAAAACTAATTCCCAAGTTTATCCTATTGGCAATGAGGGGGAAGGTCCTTCCAATTCACGGGGATGGTTCTAACGTGAGGAGTTATTTATACTGCGAGGATGTCGCCGAGGCATTCGAGGTCATTCTTCACAAGGGTGAAGTTGGCCATATTTATAATATCGGCACGAAGAAGGAAAGGAGAGTGATTGATGTAGCCACCGATATATGCAAGCTTTTCTCGATGGATCCTGAGACGAGCATCAAGTTTGTCGAAAACAGACCATTCAATGACCAGAGGTATTTTCTTGATGATCAGAGATTGAAAAAATTGGGATGGTGTGAGCGAACTGTATGGGAAGACGGGTTGAAGAAGACCATAGAATGGTACACCCAAAACCCTGATTGGTGGGGTGATGTGAGTGGTGCTCTGCTACCGCACCCGAGAATGTTGGTGATGCCTGGTGGTAGACACTTCGATTCCGAGGAAGTAAAAGAGACATCATATGCAAGCGGTCCTAATCAGACTACTTAACAAAATAATATCTTATAGTCGGAAGATCATTTGTATATTTTACGACAGTAAAAGGCCATATTTAATGATTAGAGGAATGATTGTTGTCGTTAGAGATTATGGATTCAATAACCAATTACTGCAAGATATTTGAACGTTCATTTTTAAGTAGATGAGAATCTTTAGAATAAATGTTATCACTTATTGTCGGTATTAGCTGCGGGATTATTTGTACCATTTTCATAAGGTTTATATAACAAATAAGTACATAGAGTATATTATCTTTTTATTATCTTTTTTATTAAGTACTTAAAGTATTTTTTATCAAAATAAATATCTAAAGTTATCTTTTTGGTCAAAATAGATACTTAAAATATTTAATTTTTTTATCTAAGTACCTAAAGTATTCTTTAATTGATGTCACATGTCAACTCTTTTAGAACTTAGATGAAAAAGTTTGAATAGTTTAGGTACTTATTTTGATAAAAAAGATAACTTTAGGTATTTATTTTGATTAAAAAATAATTTAGACACTTAAATGAAAAAATGGGTATACTTTAAATACTTATTTGTGATATAAGCCATTTCATAATGTATAGGGTTAGTTTGCTTATTTTTAATCAAAAGAGAGTAAAATACAATATGATATATTGTATAGGGACTTGTATGCTACTTTTACCCAAACTCTAGGGGTTTGTTTATTATTTCCCCCAAAACACACTAGTGTCTCATAGCAATTGACCCACCCAAATTCTCATTCGGATTTTGACCCAAATTCTCCCCCATAATCCAAAGTCCAAACCCCGATCCGCTCTCTCCTGGATTTTTGTCTGTTATAAACAGAATCCAAGCCCTAAAACCTTCTCGGGTCATCCGATTGGACCAGCCTGTGGAGCCAAACTTTGGTTATCTGGGTATAATTTCCTTTTTTCTTTCCTGCATGTCTTTTATTTGGTTGAATTTCGATCGAATCCCTTTGTTATTTGGTAAAACAAACATATTTTATTGATGGGTTTTCTTTTTAATATTAAAAGCTTTATCTTTTGAGAATTATTTATCTGAATTGAATGCGAGTTTGGTGCCTTTTAGCTTTAACTTTTGTTGGGATTTTGTTATATCTGCGTTTCATTCGTTAGAAGAATCTTTTTTTTTTTTGAGGAATTCAATTGAAAACTGTGTTTTCTAAGAATTGTTTATGGTCAATCGACTTTGATTTTGGTGGATTTATTACTCTAATTTAAAGAATTTTCTTGGTTTCTTTTATTTTCTGGAACTTGACTAAAAGTTTGGCTTTTTAATCGTTGCTTTGCTAATTGTTTCTCTTCAATATTGTTTTGTGTGTATAATTTTTTTTATCGATGATCATGATCATGTGTTCTTATAAAGTTCTACATAAATACATTTTCCGAAAAGAAAAAAAAGGGCGAATGGCATTTTTCATTGAATAAGAACCTATAGATTACATTGACAAAAAAATGGCTGTCGTTTTTCCCATATATATGGGGTAAGGGGGAGGTAAGACAGTAGGCTACCCTCAACACCAGGTTGAAAGCAGCTTCCGTAAGAGACCTCCGAATTATGAAATACCCACTCGATCCAACTGAGCTGGATGATCATTTCTGCAAGTAATTGCAAAGGTAGCTAAATAAGTTTAGTTCAGTTGGTCCGCTTTGGACGAGTTCGTGAACTCTATTACGAGCTACGCCTTTCGGTTGCTGCTATTAGCCTCCTATTAAGTACCTACATAGAGAAGGAACTTGTCTGGAAATTGAGGTCTAGAACTAGGATGAGGTTAAAACATTTGCCTCAAGTTGGCTCGGAGCCTCTTCTAATTTTCGGATATGAGCTATTGAAAGCAAAGAACTATATGTTACTACAGATTAGAACAAATTTTCAGACTTACAGTATCGTCTTATTGACGGAGTTGCAATGGAGATATTCTGTGACATTATTATCTCTTGATAGCAGATTTAGGATAAAATTCAAGATAAAGAAATCATTACATGGAGCCTCTTCATGTAACTTTCTTCTGTTTTTTTTATTAGTTTCCACACTATCTCACGGTTGTCGGTGTTTTCTCTGCACTCCGACTTATCCTAGTTGCAAGGGTACATCAATTTGCATATTGCAGCACTTGGGGAATAAAATCTCATTTTTGTACTATGCTGCTTGTAATCCCCTCAGATACGGATAGTCCGATCCGATCTGGAGTGTCACATTACGCCACCGGAGCGACCTACTATAAAAATAGCGAAAAATTTTAAAACTTTTCTTAAAATATGTAAAATCATAAAATGATTTATTATTATCCAGAAATTAAACAGGTTTTTCAAACTCATATATAAATCAAAATACAATTACATGCCCCCTAATCACATGTATCATACTCTGCAAATAACGCCGAAAGAGCTCCCTTACTGAAATAGATAGATGCACTGGTACAATTCTTTTAACCTGCAATGGAGAGTAATAGATTGAGCTTCGGAAAGCTCAGTAATACAGAACTACCAGATGATGCTACATGACATGCAGATAAATGGGAAGCCATAATTTCTGTTGAACTATGTTTCGATATAACAATTTAAGGCAAAATGGTTTTTGGACTTGAATTGAATTTACAAAATGTATTTGGACTTAATTGAATTTATTCAAAATTTATAAAAATATTTTTGTGCTCAATTTCCTTATTGAATCAAACGTATACCAGTTGCGGAATAATCTGGGATTCCATTAGTAGTTCATCGAGTAGAATCCATGAATCTCAGTTTAAAAAAAACCTTTCATACAGTCACGTTTTCATGAGGTCGAATAGGATATCTAGTGTGTCCCATCAATACGATAAAATCATAATAGGTACACTAATCAAATGATAGTTCAGTAAAATCCCATAAACCATATTGTAGTGGAGCTTTTTAAACTCGTATTTTAAATCATCTTACAAAGAGTTAACCTAAGGGAACATCTTAGGGCCCGAGAGCCTACCCAAGATAGATTTCGGGGCCGTGGGGCCTACCTAAGAACACATCTTAGGGTCGCAGGGCCTACCCGAGAATGATCTCAGGGCCGCAGAGCCTACCTAAGAGTCACATTAGGTCCATAAAAATTTTCCAGCTTGATCAGAGCTGTACTTTACAAATATGTATCTCCAAGATACAATTTATACAATGATACAAATCCATAAGCCATCATCGTTAAGTCGATGCATCCATAAAACAGTAACCATAGATTTCAGTGTACCACATGTTAAAACAATAAAACAATTTTTCAAAATATAAGGAACACACTAGAGAATCCAAATATTTTTCAGATGTATTTTGTAGTTATCAATATGGATAACATGAACTTGTGCAATTTGATCGGATTCCAGTAATAAGATCTTATTGAAGATAATCGATTTCTAACCGATCTAATCAGACATTTCAGATTGATACTTTAGAATTCCACTAAGTTTCTATGTGCATCAGAAAAACGTTCAGGAACCTTTATAAATAATAATTCTAAATTCAGATTTACTGCGAGTGATTCCATTACCCAATTAATCAGGGGTATTCAGGAATATACTTTGAACTCATAGGATTTCAGCTCAATTGAACCAAATGAGGTATTCATAATCTTTTCCTTTTAAGTTACTTGCTTTTTCAAACATGACTAGAGCTGGGTATACGGGCTAAGGCTCGCGGGCTACAAGTTTAACCCGCGATCTGTGCGGGCTTCGGGCCTCAAAAATTGAAGACCATTTAAATTGCGGGCTTTTTAGCTCGGACCGTTAAACCCGCGGGTTTAATGGGTATAACCGCAGGCTACCCGCGAAACCCGCTAAATCCCGCTTAATTTAAAATTCATAAAATTTTAGATAAATAAACTTAAAGAATTTTATAGAAAAAAAATAAATTACCTATAAATATGATGTTACTTATAACTATTGTAGTTCTTAAATTTATTAGGGCGTTAGTCATAATTTTACCGATGCTTGATATTTTTTTTCATTTAAATATATATCGTTATCATTTTGGTATTTAAAGATTTATTTTATTTAATTTTATCCTTTATTTTTTGTCATGAAGTATGTTATCAATTTTGTTCTTTAATTATAAAAAGTCACGTGATATTCTAATAATATATCACATGACACGTAATATTTGGATTAAAAATAAGAAAGAAAAGTAAAAGAAAAAATTGAAAACATACTTTTCAACTTTTAAAGACTTTTATAAAATAAATATATTTTAACAAATTAATTACTTATATTTTATCAATTTTAGTATAACTGTATCTTTCAAATTTACTCTTATATTGTAAGTATTTTATATATTTTCATATTATATTTTAGTCTTTCTCTAAAGTATCCATAAAATACAATTATTAGGACCACTTGACAACTTTCTTGTTAGATTTGTATAATATTTGACTTTGTTGAATTTTTATGTTTAAATTTATGCTTTCAGAATTCAGACACTTCTGTGTCTTCATATTATAGCCTTGAATAATCGTGTTTTATAAAAGTGTAATGTGGTTATTGTTTTATTTGTTTTTCAATTTGGTGATATAAGTGAATATTATTTTTTTAATTTGAGTTTAAGTAATTATATCATTATATATATATATATATATTAATGATTAAAAAATTTAAAAAATATTATTTTATAATCATTTCCGGCTATTTAAAATAAAAATTAAATATTATTTATTATTTTGACGGTGCTACCTTCCTTTTCAAGTTGCTCGATCATTTCTAAAGGTGTAGTAAGTTAAAACATTATTTTTATTGCATTTAAAACATTTAAAACTATTTTTATTAAACGGGCCGCGGGTAAGCCCGTTTAGCCTGCGGGTTAAATGGACGGGCCGCGGGCCTTAAAATTCAAAACCTTTTATGAATGTGGGCTTTTTAGCCCGCTCCGTTTAAGCCCGCACCGTCAAAACCCGCGGGCTAAACGGGCGGGTAGCCCGTATACCCACCTCTAAACATGACCGAAGTGATTTTAGATGAAAACATAGAATCGAAGATTCAAGTCATTTACAATCTATGACTATCGATCGTATTATCAAACAACTCCAGTTACACAACTCCCAAACTGATGCATGTCAACAAGTCAATTCATTATCCTTCCAGTGTATTCACTCTTTAATACCATAATGCAGATCCATAGATCATCCCCATAATCATCGTTGAATAGATCTCCCAATTGTCTTTATTTCATTTCCATGTTTCAACGATATCAGGAAATACATACGTACTTGATTCATGGTTCATAACCCATAAAGACAATTCATCATGTAAGTTCAACAGTGTTTCTAGACTCATCCAAATCACTTATTATATCCTCATTCATTGAGGTTATTTAGTTCATTTAACAATCATGTCTATTCTTGTTACTTTAGGGTTTTTCAGAGTAATTCAGACATTTTTTGAATTCCAAATACATATTGTATTTTCATTCAGTTTAATTTGGTCTTCGTGGTTTATTTGTCGAACAACCATCCAATTCTTAATACTGAATGCGATCTAGAGTTGAGCTGAGCTGAATACTTCCAAAATTATCATCGAGCTAAACTTGATTAGACGAACACGCACTCAAGTAATATCTATGCCGTTCAGATACTGACATATCATTAAAGTTGATCGACTTACTTAAGCTGTGTTCCGTAACTTTTTAAAGGTAGTCCAATACCTATGCTTATTTGGATTCCTTAATTAATCCAAGGCATTTACTTAGAATAGGAAACAAGGGTATTTTGGTAATTTTGGTGTTCATTTTTATTCCATTTATTTCAGAGCTCGAAGATATCCAATCATTATTGAGCTTGGTGGTATTCTTGGGTCATTTCCATTACGGGGGTATTTTGGTCATTTTATAGATTCAGCGTATTTCAATCATTTCATTCTGTCCGATCTTACTATTAAATTCAATCTTATCATTTATTTCAATCATTTCAAACAATTATGACAACAGAACACCCCGATAAATTATTCTTCAGGTATTTACTCATAACTCGAATATTTCTGGGTCAAGTGTCTTCTCAGATTTTACAAACGGAAAATCAAGAATTTTCCTGAACTAATTCAGGATCTTAATAATCAAATCCGTACTTAATCGAGTTAAGTACGAATCCTCAAAGTATTTTCTCATTCAAGGTTAACTAAGACTATTTTACCTCTCAAGGGTATTTCCGTAATTTCTTAACCAGATAATTTCAATATTAACTCTTAACGAAAATAATTATAATTTAGAGATCCTATGATCAATTGCTTTACCGAACAATCTCTTATCTTGAAATGATTCCTTAATAGAATTCTAATATCTTGCACAAACCCTCTAGGGGTTAAAAACCGATTATCCGTATTTTGTAAGCAAAATCTAGCATTTCTTAAGCATATATGTAGTTTTATCATATCAATATATCATTTCAGAGTTATTAATCAACTTCCAGGGACAATTCTTGACATCTTACAACTTAAGGGTATTTTCATAATTTTATCCTACCAGAGTATTATCATAATTTCACATCCAAGTACCTTTAACATTTAACATTTGATGAAATAAACTATAAGTTACAAATCCATGTTGATTTCTTTATCACTAAACACAGAACTTGTAATTTAATTCTAACAATCCCTCAATTTCTTATAAAAACCATCTGAACCATAATCAATTATTGAACTCTTTTACCGTATTCAGATCGAGTGTAGAAACCAATTAACTACACAAATGAGACTAACATTATCTTAATCATGCATTTACCAATATCCACATGTTCCATAAAGCATAAAGATGTAGTAAAGTATTACCTCGATTTTCGTGCAATACTGATCGACCATAAAAATTCCATTCAAACGTCTTTGATCTTCAATTAAACTTCCAATAATTCCTCAGATACATATCAACATAAATTATATAAAAAAAAGGAGCTTAATTGCGATAAACGAATCGAATTGGGTGATAAATCAGTCAAAAATAGCTTACCGGGTTCGAATTTAGTGAAACATACTTCGGATTTGGATTCAGGACGTCGAAAGCATAAAATATGACTTTTCGAAAATTTAGAATTTTTGGTCAAAATCAAAGTCAACGGGCTTGACTGGTAATTTCGAGGCCTTCGGGTCCGAATTTTGAAAAACGGACAGCGGAATCAGATTCGGAACATCGAAAAATGTGAGGATAGATATACTCGGTCAACGTCAAATGTCGTTTAATGCCCGGTCAAAGCCAATTAAAGTTCTGGTCAACTCTAGTCAACGCCGGTCAACGATCAACAGTCGACCATTTTACACAAATATCACCCAGAAATTAATTTCCAAATTAGTTACATTCTGCAAATATTTACCAATCTAACACTCGGATTTTACACAAATAGCACCCAAACATAAATTAATTACTAAATTATCACCCAGACGATGTCCACTCTCGGGGAGGCGCGTGTGGTGCGTGAACAGGACTACGGTATCGGAAAATTCCCGGAAAAATTTCTAAAAATTATTTTAAGCAATTTTGAGGCACTTACAAAGCTCGGTTCACAATTTTGAACGGCGAAGAGCTCGATTCCAAAAACGTTGGAAACTTTGACAGTCTCACCCCTCCACGCGCCGGCGACGACGGAGAAACGGAGAACACCGGTGTACTCGGAACGATACAAAAAACACGATAGTGCGGGAGGTGTCGTAAACGGATGATCGGATGTTCGTGAATCGACAGAAAACCAATTGAAATCGAGTTATTACCGACGATATTTCCGACTGAAATTAACGACGAACGACAACGATTCACGACAAAATGTTTGAGGGGTTTTGTTCCTAGGTTGACAACAAACACGATGGTGGTTTCGGCTCGTCGATCGAAAGTCGGACTGCGAGTAGATCGGAGTTGAAAGGAGGGTTGTTGGAGAGGGAAAACTGATAATTTTCTGCTGAATGATACGGGAAATGGTTGTTTATATTATCTCTAAAAGAAAAATGGGTAAACCATGAGTTTAGTCACTGAACTTCCTGTATTTCTTAAAATGGTCTGCTAACTTTACTATTTTACAATTTAATCTCCAATTTCTTTCAAAAAAACCAATTAAATTATCCACTTATAATTTCTTAAATCTAACCCCTAAATTGGAGTGCTACACTGCTTGTGCTTTTTCTCCTACTTATTTTCAATACTTAACCTTGATTTTTATTTAACAGTTAATGATTATGATTGCATTTTATGATTAATTGATTATTTAAAGGTTCTTTTGGTGCGTGTTTGATGTTTCGCGTCCTGAAGTTATGTTGTGAATTAATCGGTAGTTTATTCAAAAGGATCCGTTTTGACATGTGGCTTTACTTTTAATATCCAGACTTCGGTTCGTCTGAAGCCTATGCGATGGAAGTGGCTAATGAATCTACTGCTAAGAAACCAAAGAGATTGACTTCTGTTGTATGGAACCACTTTGAAAGGGTCAAGAAAGCCGACATATGTTATGCAGTATGTGTTCATTGTAACAAGAAATTAAGTGGATCGAGTAATAGTGGAACCACCCATCTAAGGAATCACTTAATGCGGTGCTTGAAAAGATCAAACTATGATGTTTCTCAACTACTTGCAGTGAAGAGGAGGAAAAAAGAAAATACCCTTACCATTGCGAATATCACTTACGATTAAGGGCAAAGAAAGGACGATTATATGAAGTCCACCATCGTCAAGTATGAACAAGGCCAAAGAAAGGATGAAGCTTTCAGTATTGGAAGCAGTTGGTTCGACCCTGAGAGAAGTCGGTTAGATCTTGCCCGCATGATTATATTACATGGCTACCCCTTAGCCATGGTTGAACATGTTGGATTCAAGGTGTTTGTCAAGAATCTGCAGCCGTTGTTCTATGTTGAGCCACATAGCAGCATTGAGCTGTCTTGTGTGAAAATTTGTATGAAGGAGAAGCAGAGAATTTATGATATGTTAAGTAAATTGCAAGGCAGAATTTAACCTCGCCGTTGAGATGTGGTCTTCACCCGAGTATTCGAGATACGTATGCTTGACTGCACATTATGTTGACGATGACTGGAAACTACAAAAGAAGACTCTTAATTTCTTAACACTTGATTCTTCTCATACTGAAGACATGCTTTCCGAAGTAATTATCAAGTGTCTACTGGATTGGGACATAGACTATAAGTTGTTTGCCATGACATTTGATGATTGCTCGACTAATGATGACATTGTCCCGAGAATAAAAGATCGTATTTCTGAAAACAGGCCACGTTTAAGCAATGGTCAACTGCTAGATGTGCACTCAGCCGCACATATTCTGAATTCCATTGCTCAAGATGCCATTGAAGCTCTTCATGTAGTCATCCAAAAGATTCGAGGAAGTTTTAGATATGTTAAAAGTTCACAACCAATACTAGTGAAGTTCAATGAGATTGCCCAGCAACACGGAATCAAGAACCACAAGAGCTTAGTTCTCGACTGCCCTATACGATGGAATTCAACATACATGATGCTCGAGACTGCTGTAGAGTACAGGAATGTGTTCCATCACTTGCCAGATCTTGATTCTGACCATGCTTTAAGTGATGAAGAGTGGGAACGGGCAAGTTCGATTACCGGCTATTTGAAACTATTGGTTGAAATCATTAATGTCTTTTCTGGCAACAAATGTCCTACTGCAAATATATATTTCCCTGAAATTTTTCATGTCCACATTCAATTGATTGAATGGTGCAAGAGCACAGATGATTTTCTTTGTTCATTGGCAACAAAGATGAAAGCCAAGTTCGATAAATATTGGAGCAAGTGCAGCCTAGCTTTGGCTGTAGCAGCGATCTTAGATCCCCGATTCAAGATGAAGTTGGTTGAGTATTACTATTCCCAAATTTACGGCAGTACCTCTTTGGAACGAATCAAAGAAGCAACTGATGGTATCAAGGAACTCTTTAACGCGTATTCTATCTGCCCGACTTTGGTCGATCAGGATTCAGCTTTACCTGGCAGTAGCTTACCTAGCAGTAGTAATGATACTAGAGATAGACTAAAGGGTTTCGACAAATTCCTCCACGAGACATCTCAGAGCCAAAGTTCAATATCGGACTTGGAAAAATGTTTAGACGAGCCCGTCTTTCCTCGTAACTGTGATTTCAGTATCTTGAATTGGTGGAGGGTTCACACTCCGAGATATCCAATCCTGTCGATGATGGCACGGGATGTGCTAGGAACTCCTCTGTCAACTGTTGCACAGGAGTTCGTGTTCAATGCCGGAGGCCGGATGCTTGATAGCAGTCGATGTTCACAGACCCCTGATACTCAACAGGCTTTGATATGCGCACGAGATTGGTTACGGACGCAATCTGATGGTACGTGCATCATTCAACGTTATCCCTTTTAACAATCATTTCAAATTCATCATCTCTTAACAATACACTACTGTTATCAACGAAATAGATGCGACACCATTACCGGGCCATTACGCTCTACGCCATTACGTCGAGGCCAATTGATCCAGATTCCAGCCTTGCCTGATTTGTAAGGCTCTGCTGTAAGTTCTTAACCTATTTGCTGGTTTTTACAAGTGCCCTTATTTTTTTATGGGTGTCTCGTGCAAGGTACATGAATCTTTTCTTAAGCTAATAAGATTGCATTGAAGCACTTGATCTTTGGGTGTTGATCAGATCCTATTTGATAATGGTGTTTCAATGTGGCTTATATCCGTGCCTCAATTCAAGGCAACTCTTTGTTATTGGTTGATGTAGTTATTTAAATTCAAGTTTATAGTTAAAGGATATATGTTGTTCGAACTCGGATTCGGATAATAAAATGCACTTTTATAAGGACATATTTTTTATGAAAGAAGATGAGATATCGTCAAAACCCCCCTCATAATCAATGTTACACTAAGATTCAACGTTAAAGAACGGAAGGGGAAAAGAGTGCCGAGATCTTTTATTAATAATCCGTCCAGTTACAAGTGCCCATATGCTATCCTGACCTTAATACATAATGGGACAACTTAAAAATCACCATCACAATTCAGTAAACTAATACAGCTCGCAGCCCAGCGGAACCCTGAAACCTCATGCACTCACGAGACACCAGGCACACCAGGGAAGACAGGTCCAGCTATTGCCTTTTGGCTAATGTATCAGCCTCAACGTTACAACTCCTGGGAATAGATCCGATCGGAATGCTTCTTCTTTCTACGATTGCAGATAGGCGTTGAATTAAAGTTGATCGGAATGCTTCTTCTTTCTACTATCGCAGATAGGCGTTGAATTAATGTTGAAAACACTGCGTCCGAATCCAATCTACCACATAAGAACAGTCGCTTTCCACTATCAGGTTAAACTTCTTGCGCCGGTAACAAGTTGATCGCATGGTTAATAGCCAAAAGTTCGACCAAAACCGATGGCTCTACACCAACTTGACAGGAGAACGATAAGACCTTTTCACCAAGATGATTTTAAAGAATACCTCCTATCCCTCCACAGACCCCACCCAATTTTTGGGGGTGGGGGGGGGGGGGGGGGGAGGGGCAAGAGATTTGTTTAGTCAAATAGTCGGCTTGCTCACAATCCAAACAACGACTTCAACTTTAGGGGGAGCTACACCAATCCAAATCTTTGGCCGATTTTGGGAGTTATTGATGAAAAGGCTAAAGCCATTGGGGTAGTGATCTTTAGATCTGCTTTTACTGTTCGTTATTCCATGGCAGATTGGTTAGCTTTAAACGGTTTGGCAAGGTCGGAGTTTTTTAAGGCTTGCTGGTAAATGTGTAATTTACCCAAAATATTTAAATGATATCCGGTGATAAAAAAACCGTTCTCTCCATTGAATCTTAAACCATTCTAAAACCCTTCCATAGCAAATGTCTCGATTAAAAGCTCTCCTTTCGCACCAAACCAAATGTCTCCTCAAAACCCAGAATCCTCCTTCCAAAATCCTTCATCCCTCACCATCCTTCACGATCAGAAGAACCCTTAATTCCTCTTCCCAGAAACAAACCAAAACCCCACTTTCCGTATTGTTTCAAGAAGCTGCTGGTGGAGCTGAAGCCCAGAGAGAAGCAAAAAACAATGGGATGAAGAGAGAAGTTAGGAACTTGAAAGCAAACCCAAAAGGGAAAAGGAAAGAAAACCAGGGATTAGATTGGGAAAGAACCCAGAAAGTTAAGACGGTGAAAGTTAGGAGAGAAAGGGGAGAGGTAAGAGCTTTGAAGGATCTTTCACAGTTAGCTGAGATTTTCATTAGGCATCTGTTTGCAAAAGGGTATTTTAACAAGGCTAGTTTTTTGGAACACAACAAGTTGGATTTTAGTTTCTTTGGGAATAGTTATGGCAGGGATTTCATCAAGTTTGCTGCTTATGAGTTCGGTAAAGATCATCAAGATATTGCAAAGTAAGAACATTTCCCCCCCCCCTTTGTCTTTTCTTTCTGTTAATTTGGATTTGACACTTTTTGCTAATTCTTAATGTCTTGTGTTTATGTTAGCTGATTGATGTTATTCATGTTATGTTTGGTTGTTCATAAGATAGTGAGGAAAGTGGAGTTTGAGCATTATGTTTTTGAATATTAGAAAGAATTCGTGATAACTGTGTTGATTGATTACATTAGTTTTGTACTTCATACTTAAAAAATTTGTGTATACTTGTGTTTGATTCATTTCCATATCTACTACACTCAGTCGAGTCCGGGGCGATATGGGTCATTGGAATGATAAGTAACATCGATTCTAGCAAGGAATTATGGTTTCTTTTGTCAATGGCAACAAGATCAATTGATCACAATAGGTTACACTTTATAGCTGATCAGAGAAATGGAAGAATAAGTTTTAGTTGTCATGTTTATACCGATTTCTCAATAGCTAAATGAAGCATCGGTTTTCGGTTTTTCGTATTTTTTGTCGAGATTTTATAGTGTTTCAAGGTTCTTGTATGTGTTTATAATCATTATTGAGAATTATTTAGTAATTCCTTCTCATATTTGTCAATGAGAAATTAAGTTTGTTCCGTGCACTAAAATCTGCTGGTGAATATCTCAAGCTAATCTTGTGAGGTACATAATTTCTGGTGTGTTGGTTGGTAGGTTTAGCATATTTGGTAAACGAAGTTCTCGTGTTAATTGTTTGTATTCTTCTAATGAGAATTAGAAGTTCAATGAAGTGTTTAAGCCCTGCTAAAATGCTTGAAGAACAAAAAGAAGGGCTTATTAAGGATTATGCCATGAATAATTAATTTATCATCGATGGTATCGATGTTGAAGACTGATCTTAAATTCCGTTTCGTAGATACAAGGTACGACAAAAACTATGTATCTCAATGGTTCTACCATAGGTCTGACTTGATTTGCTATGGAGAACCATATTATACACCAATGCAGTTTATCATGCTTTTATGTAGCCCTTCTCCAGTTCTCCTTGCCTTCTTTTGGTGAATTCTTTATCGAATAATCGGTCTTTTGCTTCTCGTAAAACAACACGATCTTAAACTTTGGTATTTACAGATGGTTGCCGGTCAATCACTTAAAAAACGTGGTGCTTTTCGGTTGCCCTTCCCTCGATAAATATAACGTCTTCGCTGCTAAGAGATTGCGCAAGTTCTTCAAAATTCAAGAAAACACCGTAAGCCATTATCTCGATGATCCCACCGAGAAAAGCTTGTGTTCTATACCGAGTATAAATCTTCATCTGTCGTTTGTTTCATCGGTCCATGATCTCTTCAGGTATGCAGTCGATGCGTGTTAAAGGAGTCGTGCGAGTACGCGAACAATATCATATGGGGAATCGGTACCAATAGTTTGCTGTTGGTTGATGTAATGAAAGTTATCACATTGTATGCTTTAGACTTACTGCCTGCAAAACTCGCAGTTCCGGACGAAGTAAAGGATTCAATCAACCAATTGCTGAAGGTGATTGTAAAGCTAAGCCAATCCACATGACAAGTCATCCAAAATGCTTCTACAGCTATGGTAAATTCCTGTTACTCGGAAGTGAGACGGATACAGGTATATATCCGGTACGGGTATGTTTATTTTCCTTTTCAGTTTTTCGATGTCTTTCGAGGATCATATCTCCATATGTTGGATGAGTACTCGAGGGGAAATGAACTTGAAGGATCCGAGTAACGTAGTATAGCTTATGCTGGTGACTTATGTTGCTTGGACTCTTCATTTTTCACGAATTACCCGTGTTCAACGTTGGTGTGATTCATTTGTGTATATGGAATTCAAATGGTGAAGCAGTTGGAATCTTGGTTTGTCTAGAAGTTGACTGGTTTATGTTTTTGACTTTTGATGGAATTGTTCAACTGTTTCTTCTCTACAATGGCTAACGTCAACATGTTGGATTGTTCTATGGATTCTCTCGAAGGCTCGTTGACTATGTTAATCCAACTTTTCTATTTATTTAAACTTTTTTTCGTTTAATATTTTCATTCCTTTTGAATTCCAGAAATTTCAAAACTAGTGCCTCAAAAAATTCAAAGCATATCGTCACGGGCCGTGATCTTTGGGTTCGAGACATTGGTGCAAGTGTTTGTTAAAGAGGTTCTATACAGAATGTAGGCTTGCCAAGGTCACTAGACGGGCTTGAAGGTTCTGAGAACGTGATAATATATATAGAGAGAGAGAAGGATAAACTACACCAATTATCATTGAATTTTACTCTTTCTCTCTTATTTCACTAACTGTATTTTAAATTCGTTCAATTTTCTCATTGAACTTAATACATTTAGTTTTTGTTACTCTGTTATGTTCTCAATAACGACGTTATAATTTGGTTGTTATATCGATGCAAAACGACGATTTAGTGGAAAATTTTATTTTTCTAAAACGGTGTTGTTTTAATGTCGTTGACTACTTACGGCGGAATGACTAAATGTATTAAGTTTAGTGAAGAAATTGAACGAATTTAAAGTACAGTGAGTGAAATAGGAGAGAGAATAAAATTCAATAAAGATTGATGTAATTTACCTTAAAAATAATAACATTATCTTCTTATTAATTTATTGATTAATAGATTTCATCTAAAAAAATTATTAAATAATGGGTAAACTATATGTTCAATATCTGAACTAGTAGTTTTAGTTTGTTTTAATATATAAACCTTTAATCTTTTTAAAATCATACTTAACGTTTAGTTTTTATTTCATTTTAATACTTTGTTGTTAAAATTTTAACATATTTAGTACTTAAACTATCAATTTTGATCCGTTTTAGTATTTAAATTTTTTCAAAACTAAACTTTAAATTTTTAATGAGATACTAAAATAAAACAAAAATTAAACTTTAAGTATGATTTTAAAAATATTAAAAATTTAGGTATTAAAATAAATCAAAAGTAATAATTTAAGCATTAAATGCCGTAGTTTACCCTTAAGAGGGTGTTTGGATCAAGGAATGTGGGATTCCCATGGAGTGAAATCCACATTCTTATGTTTAGTTGGTCGGGAATCTCATTCCCGGTAATGTTTTATTATCAATAGTAGATTTTTGAGGTATATTACCGGGAATGACATTATCTCCCTTTCCTTAGGTATTGTTGGATTACCAATGTTTTGGACTAAAATACCCTTAATTTTTTTTTCAAAAATATCATTCTTCTGTCATTGAATAATAAAAATTATACGAAGGTTAGATTATAAATTTATCCTTAAACCATTTTAGATTTACAAAAAAAATCTATAATTAAAATTTTATATAAAGTTCAGGGGTTAAAATAAAATTTTATCCTTTCATTAAACCTTTTTATATTTTTAATTCTGTAAAAATATATATATATAAATTTTATGAATTTAAATTTTTTTAAAAAAATATATAAATATTTTCCAACTTGTTAAAAAAATAAAATATATAATAAGAACAATTTGGTCAAATATACATTCTAATAATCTTTTATTCTTTTAACAAAACACGGTAATATTACATTAATGCTAAACCAACCAAACACAAAATACAACATTCTCAGTAATCATATTCCCTAGTAATCTTACATTCACATTAATAATCTTACATTCCGTGAACCAAACGCACCCTAAATAATATATTATGTGTCGTTGGAAGAGGGATTTCGCTCCTTAAGTTGCTTATCGGATGGACGTAGGCCGTTACTAAACTTATTAGCGAAGACAATATCCACGTGGCAAGCTAAATTTTTTACTTTTGGAAAAAATCAATGCGATTCTCGTATTATTTTTTTCTCAATATAATCCTCTAACTCATAAAATAAACTCAATATAGCTCTTTGAGCAATTTTTCCTCGTTGATCGTTATCGTGCTGACATGACAATCCAGAGTGACTGATTAACGTGACAGATGACATGGTAGATTGACTAAATTGGTAACCCAACATGGTAGACGTACTGCCACATCATCATCGTAGACCACATTAGGTTTATTTTCTAAGTTGGACGGTCACGTTGAGAGAAAAGAATAATATGAGGACCACATTGGTTCTTTTCTAAAGTACTTGGAACTCTTATGCCTTTTTACCTGTTTTTTAATGATATAAATAAAATTTTAGTTAAAATTTTAATGATATAAATATAATTTTTAAAAATTGAGTAACTAAAGTTAATTTTCTAAAGGTTTAGTGACTTTAGGTGTGGTTTACCCTAAAATATGTCAATCATATGCTGCAAATATGTAAATTGAGAAGAGATCGGAGGGTAATGATATACTATCGGTGCAGCATTAGCTGACCACCTCTCAAATCCTCCTTCAATGCCTTTAAACTCAATTACTTGTTCTTTTTGAGTTCTCTTCTTCCCGGGTTTTCAACTCTTCACGAAAACCATCCCCGGTTTCCCGATCGGTTTCCGGTCCGGTCCATCCAATGATCGGCCGATCAACATCCATCTTCAACTAGATTTCAACAATTCACCTTATACGGATTTCCCACCACTTCACCCGCCATAAACCACCGTCGTCTGGTTTCTCCGTTTACTGGTCTGAAAGTTAAAAGCTGAATATTCTTTCTCACGGAGCCGCTGAAGCTTAAGTTCATTAGCTTTACCTCATCTTCCTAATTCAGCATATTTTTCATTTTTTTCTTTAAATTTTGCTGCAAATTCAACGAATCTGCTGCTATTATCTTTTTTTTTCCAACAATTTTGAAATGACGTCGGGGACGAGGATGCCGACATGGAAAGAGAGAGATAACAACAAGCGGAGAGAACGGCGGAGGAGAGCAATTGCCGCGAAGATCTTCGCCGGGCTTCGGATGTACGGTAACTATAAGCTTCCTAAGCACTGCGATAACAATGAAGTTCTCAAAGCTCTTTGTAATGAAGCCGGTTGGACTGTTGAACCCGACGGCACTGCTTATCGTAAGGTAATCACTATCCTCGCCTTAACCTCTTCTTTTTTTCACTGATTGATTCTGGGTAGGGAAAAATGAAAACGATGCACATGGAAGATCATTTTCTCTTTCTTCGGAAAAGAAATTCGCTAAACTCTTGCATTTAGATTTTTTTTTGAAAGATCGGAAGCAACAGAAAATTGGTTTTCTCTATTATATTTAGCCGGAGAAGAATTATTGCTAGTGTAGTAATAATAAATAATCATCACAAGAACCAGAAAAATCAAATAGAATAATGATCTGTTTTCTGAATTGTGCCGCCTTGTGCGGTGCATGTTAGTGTTCGGATGTGTCCCCATTTAGGTAGCATACGCCGTTCCCGGCGAGCCAAAGTTGAAATTCAACCAACAATAAGATCTGGTGCTGACGTGCACAGCTCGTGGGAAGATCTTAAGGTTTGTTTGAATGAGAAAGCTTAGAATACAGTTCTCAAAATCCTGTATTGTGAATCTGTGATTGAATTTAGATACCATCTTTTACCATGAAAATTAACAAAGTTTCTTTGAGAAGATGAGATCTTGACTTGAACCACATTAAGTCCAGAGGGAAAGGGAAAGGAAATCTAGGTACTCACGTGCTTTGTTGCCATTTTACACGTGATTTAGCTGGCAACCAGAGAGGTGGTCCAGCCACCTTTCTCCTTTCCCCTTTCTGGGTTCTTGACAATATTTATGTGTATTAATTCAATTCATTAATTTTTCTCAAAGTATTCGAGTTCGACATCTATGTCTAATGCATATTTGGAAATTGGCACGTGAGTATAATCTCGTAAAATATATGAAAAATTTAGGGGAGAAAATGGATTTATCCGTATCGGACACATATAGTATTTATTTCGTCCTATTGGCCAAATTGGTACCACATTTTAGCTTACTTTGATGCTCTTAGCTTGATCACTCAACTAAGAAAAGACTGTATGAGTAGTTAACAAGTATGGCTATTATTTTTTATAGAAGTTTGAATCAGTTGGATGATTGCTAAAACTGCAGCTTAAAAGGAGAAGTTTAGGTCATTATCATGTATAAAACAACAAAGGTTTTCGGTCCCGAGCTGATTGGGGTGAAATTTGTCAAATGCATTTCTAAATAAGCATTTCCATCAAAGCACAAGGAGATAGAGTTTTTTTGGAGGACATTGTGAGTCTGATGTGATATGTAAAGCAATGGAATAAACGGAGGGGGTGAACGATGTCCCTAATTTTTTTCGAATAAACGACCTTATGTACCTTATCAACTTATGGAATGAGTTACAGTCATTGGAGCTGCTATTTATTGAAATATCTTATTACAGTAATTGAGCATATTAGGCTTGCAGTAATGGCACTGACAACCATCTAATTTTCACAGGGTTGCAAGCCTTTGGAGCGCATGGATATGGTAGGTGGATGTGCAACAGCGAGCCCCAGTTCATCCTATCACCAGAGCCCCTGTGCTTCTTACAACCCAAGCCCCATGTCATCATCCTTTCCGAGCCCTGCCTCGTCTTCGTATGTGGTTAATCCCAATGGTGATGGGAGTTCTCTTATCCCATGGCTCAAAAATCTCTCATCTGCATCCTCGTCAGCGTCGTCTTCCAAGCTTCCTCATAACTATATTCCCAGTGGTTCTATCAGTGCTCCTGTCACCCCTCCATTAAGCTCACCAACGGCACGAACCCCACATACGAATACCATTTGGGACGACCGGTCTGGTCCTCCAGGTTGGAGTGCACAACAACTCTCTTTCCTGCCCTCTTCAACTCCACCTAGCCCTGGTCGCCAGATCATTCCTGACCCGGAGTGGTTTGCCGGGATCCGAATTCCTCGTAGTGGGCCAACTTCTCCCACATTCAGCCTCGTCTCCTCGAACCCCTTTGACTTCAAGGAGGAAGTTTTAGCCGGCGGAGGATCTCGGATGTGGACTCCGGGGCAAAGCCGGACATGCTCTCCTGCAATAGCTGCAGGATTGGATCATACAGCCGATGTTCCCATGTCTGAAGTCATTTCAGACGAGTTCGCATTCGGAAGCAATGCAACAGGACTCGTAAAACCGTGGGAAGGAGAGAGGATTCATGAAGAATGCGGATCAGATGATCTAGAACTCACTCTTGGCAGTTCGAGAACTAGGTGAGTATCGGATATAGATATGTTCAGAGTATCATACCTTTAGTTGCTTTTGCCATAGGATGAAATGCCTTGATGACCAGTTAATTCCACTGTTTATCCCAATGAACACAAACCTTTTGTGAGAATTGGGAAATGTTGGACTCTTACCATGCTTTGTTGACAAAGTCCATGTCTTCTTTTGCCTTTCCATTCTCAATTCTCAATTAAGAGCGAGCAAAACTCGATTCTAAAAATCGATTTTTTTACTTGATTCAAAAAAAAATGATTCGAATTTATTTCGAGTTGTAATTTTATAAACTCTAAAAAAATTTAAGTTCAAATCGAGTTGTAAAATACAACTCGATTTACTCAAATAACTCAAAATTTTTAGTAATTAGTATATTGATTTTTAAGTTTGAGTCGAATCCTCGACTTTTTATGCTATATTATATCATATATGGAAAACAATATGAATAAATATATATGTATTGTATATGATTAAATTGGAATCAAATAACATTATAAATATTTATAATTAAATTTAAACAGAAATTCAAAAATTCGGCTTGATTCGGTTCGAATTTTATGAACATAATTTGAAAATTTTCAAGTCAACTTCGAGTTGTAAAATATGATTCATCAACTCAAAATCTCGAAACTTTTAATTTTTGATCGAACACTCACCTCTATTCTCAATCTTTCTTTATTATTTAAGGTGCTTTCTTGTTTGATTACATTTGGTTATTTTTTAGGGTCTAGTTTTTAACTGAATAATTTTGAAAATTAGATACAAATTAGCCATTGTCACACTCACCGTATGGGTGAAAGAAAAACAATTACGTAAAATTTTACCAACAAAGATAATATTTTTCATAATTTGAACAAATTTAATAATTTACAATAATTTGAAAAAAATTAATAATTTACAATTAAGTTGACGTTAAAAAACAAAGTATAATACATAAATTAACAAATAATTTCCGGTAATTTTAAGAAATATAGATTTTAAAATTTTAGTTTGATCCAAATGATAGGAACAAAATAAAACAAAGTGATTTTAAATGATTAGTTTAAAAATAAAAATTAATTTCACTACTTACTTGTAATATATAGATTAAAAGAAGTAAATTTTAATTTTTGTTTTTGTTTTTTGAGTTAAGATCAAAATTTTAAAATTAAGAAGCAAATGAATTATAAATAAACTAATTAATTAAAATTTGAGGGTTGAGTTAATAATAACTGGGGTAAATTACGTCAATCATCACTGAATTTTATTCTATCCTATTTCACTCATTGTACTTTAAATTCATTCAATTTTTTTGCTGAATTTGATACAATTAACGTTTTTGGTTACTCGGCCGTTAAATATTTAATGGCGCTAAAATAAATTTGAATGTAATCTTTTGTATGATCATCCTGCTGGACCTTATTTCTTTCCTTCTTAGCTTAATTTCTCTCTTTTTTTCTTTCAAAAATTTTCATAGTTATATAAATCTGTAACTCTTCATACCAACAGCTTCTTCTTCATCCATGGCTTCCTTCATCTTCCCTTTTGTCTTCTTTCTTCTTCCCCTTCTGTTTCTCAACCCTCTTTTCAGCCAAGCCAATCTCCACCTTCCAAAGCCCTCCTCAAATCAACCCTTCTCCCCCAACAACCATCACCAATCCCGTTTTTCGAAGTCGCCAAGCCGATCAATGTCCCGAGCACCGAGCCATGTTCCCTCACTGTTCTACGACATGACTTCGGCTACACCTACGGAAAGTCTCCTGTTATATCGAACTACACCTTCCCATCTAACTGTCCGTTTCGAGATTTCTTCGGGATTGTGCTGGAATGGAACGCCACGTGAAAAGGAAGGCAATTCGATCGGATTTTCGGAGTTTGGTTATCCGGTGTGGAGCTTCTAAGGAGCTGCACATCTGAGCCTAGGCCTACCGGGACTGTTTGGAGCGTCTAGAAGGATGTAAATAGATATTCATCACTGCTTCTGATGAACAAGACTCAACCCTTTTCGGTTTTCGTCGAAAACATTATCGACGAAATGTGTACCATGTCAATGTAAGTCTTCACTTCTACCCTGCAGAGAAAAACAGAATCTTCTCAAGGGAGGAGATTTAGGGTATGGGATTCGATCCAAGGCCGATTTAATTGTACCCTTTTCCAGGGATTTGCCATTGAACGGCGGATTGTGGTTCGAGATGCAGAATGCAACCGATGTCAAAGCGAAGAACTTCAAAATTCCTCGGAATGTTTATAGGGCTGTGTTGGAAGTCTATGTTTCTTTCCAATGAGAAAGATGAGTTTTGGTATGGAAATCCTCCAAGTGAGTACATTGTTGCTAATAATCGCACAGATTTTCCTGGAAATGGACCATTTAGGGAAGTTTTGGTGAGTTTAGATGGTGAACTTATTGGTGCAATTTGGCCCTTTACTGTGGTTTACACAGGTGGAATTATACCTCTCTTGCTGAGACCAATTAGTGCCATTGATTCATTTGATCTCCCTACTTATGACATTGAAATTACACCATTTTTAGGCAAATTATTGGATGGGGAATCACATAATTTAAGTTTCAATGTCACAAATGCCTTGAATGTGTGGTATATTGATGCAAATTTGCTCCTTTGGTTAGATTCTAAGAGCTCAATGACCAAAGGGAAGCTTGTGCACCATAAAAATGCTCCACTTGGTGTTTCTTCTGTGACAAATTTTCATTGTTTGAATGGAAAATTTGTCACAAAAGCAACCAGGTCCATCTCCTCAACTGGCTGGATCAAATCAAGCTATGGGAAAATCACAACTAAATCAACCCAAAATCTAAGTTACAAAAACTCCATGGTGATGGCCAAGGATTGAAATCTGCAGATTGTGAACCAGAAGATCAAATTTGATACGAAGTTCATACAAAAAAGCCCAGGTCGAATCCGAGATCGAATAGATCACTCAAGAGGTTTCCGTTCAAGATACACTCTGATTATAGCAACAATGGAAACGGAACTTCATTGACTGTGGCTAATGTCACATTGGGGCTCAATGAAAAGAGGGTTGGAGATGAAGTGAAGAGCCTGCAGAAGGGAAATGGGTTCATGTTTGTGAAGGATAACTTGGTTGTCAATGGAGATGGGAATACTCACCAAATTTGATGGCTGTAAATCTTGCTATGCTAGGGATGTAAGCAGCTCATACTACACCATTATTCATGATGAAGCGAGAAACAATTGCAGTGAAAAATGATTTGGAATGTGAGCACCTCATGTTGTTGATCAATGGAAATTAGTCACTTGTTGGATTCTTGATTTGCATAATGGAAAGTTTTGAAAAACGTTTTAGTATCTAAACGGACCAAAACTAATAGTTTAAGATGATGTCATAGAGATATAAGGGATTGAAGATGACGACAATTGAAATTTGGGCAAGGGATTTCGAAGAATTAGGGATTTCGAAGAATTAAGGATTTTTTTAATTATTTTAAATTAGAACCAATTTTATAGAATGCGTAAGTTTTGAGGTTTAAAATTATTACTATATTATTACCATATCATGTCATGTTACCATTTTCCTTAACTCAACAGTCAAATCTAGCGACGGATAATCAAAACAGAAATGAAACGTGATATTAGTAGTGATTTTAAAAAAACTAGTAATTGAATGACCAAAATTGAAACAAGATAATAAGTGGTTGACTAAATAATTAGTTTACCCATAAAAAATAGTAGATAGACACTACCTAAAGCACGTTAATTTCTTCTTTCCCCTGCTTTTATTCTCGAATCTTCTTCTCTCAATTCTCCAAACCCTAATTTCTCAATCTCTCGTCCCCTTTCCCTTTTGGTTCATCAATCGAGGCTCGCAAATGGCCAATAGTAATCTTCCTCGAAGAATCATCAAGGTTACTGTTTCGATCTTTCATCCGATCCTTCCTGATTTCTCCGATTTGTTTGTTTTCCGATAATCCTCAATTCTTTTGTTTTTGTTTTAAATTTTATGCGTTTCTAGAGATTTGTATGGTGACTGAAGTTTTTAAGGTTTTGATGAATCAAAGTCCTCTGCTAATTGTTCTAAGATCGTTTTCTGAGATTGAAGAAAGCATTTTTTTTCTTTTATTTGTGAGAATTTTTCTTATTTTCGTACTTTAATTTTGGGTTCTTCATTTTTATCTTAACAGGAAACGCAGCGTCTCCTAAGTGAACCGGGTAATTACTTTGTTTTTTCTTTGCTGTTTTTAATAGAAATTATTGTTGAATTTTGTTTAATAATTTGTTCTTTTATCAAGAGTTCTTTTAAATTTCTTTTTTATTATGATAGCACCGGGAATTAGCGCTTCACCTTCAGAGGATAATATGAGATATTTCAATGTGATGATCCTTGGTCCCACACAGTCTCCATACGAAGGTAGTTGATATTTTCATCTAATTGTTGCAAATGTTTTTACTTTGTGTTGGAATTTGTTAAATTTTACAGTTGATTGAATAGTAGTTAGGTTGGGCTTATTTAAATCGTAAAGAGAGGCACCGATGCAGATTATCTATTACCATTAAATTTTACAGTAGTTAAAACTAGGAAAGCTTTTCATAAACTGATTTTCCAGTGTTCAGTGTTCTTATTTTCTTGCTTCTTTTCCATCTTTTTGAAGAGAAAAATGGCCAATGATTTCAGTCTTGAAGCTTAGGTTTGATCAAATTAGCATGTTTTGCTTAGTCTTGTTTGAAGCTTAGGTTGATTGAATTAATTATGCACTTATGTATAGGATATGACGCATTTTCTTGTTTGAGATTTTAGGAGGGGTTTTCAAGTTGGAACTATTTTTGCCCGAAGAATATCCCATGGCTGCTCCCAAGGTACTCAACTTTAACTCGTTCGTAAAACTAGCATGAATTTCTGTTTCTGCATCTTTCGTTTGTAAGGTGGATTTTTTTATTCTTGCGTATACACCACTACATGGTTTCATCTGAGAAATCTTAATATGATTTAGAATGTTGCAGTTTGCATTATAGAGAAATCTGTTTCTTACTCGGTGATTCTGGAATGTAGTTAATTGCCTTTGGCTTGGAGGTTTTGCTCTAGTAAACCTGCTTTATTCTTTCTTGATATGTGGTAAATTAGAAGAATATTTTTGAATGCTCTCTACAGTCTAAACCCAGGATCGTTTTTTTATCTATAATTGGTAGCCACTTCATTTAAGTCCTGTTAACGCAACAAATTGCAACCTACCGTTTGGTTCTCTTGCACTGGTGATTCATGAGTGTGGTATATTCATAGAACTGCCAACTGACAGTGGTTGGAACTAATTGTCAATTTATTGTTCTTTATTCTCGGAAGCTTTTTAGCATCCATTAATGACATCCTTTTTAGAAAAATTTTATACTTTTGTCCACCTTAACCAATTTTGTGTAACAGGTTCGGTTTCTTACCAAGATATATCATCCTAACATTGATAAGGTTTGCACGTGTTCCTTCTTTTGTTCTTATTATATGGTGTGATGGTGTAACGGTTTCGCTCTAAGGGTTAAACATTCTTGCAGCTTGGGAGAATATGCCTTGATATTCTCAAAGACAAATGGAGTCCAGCTCTCCAGATCCGAACTGTACTTTTGAGGTATTATTAGTCTCTGTAAGATGTATTTCTGTCGTTGTAAACAGTAAACCAGTCTAGGTCACATGGTCTTGAATATATCATGCCTCTTGAAACATATTTATATAACACATGTTCATGTTGCCGGGAAAATTAGGTCTTACAAGTAAACAGGGAAGTTGAATATTTCTTTCCCACACTGCCTATTCATGTAATTTTTTTTCTTTTGGTTCTGGAAAAACTTATTTGCAATTTCAAACAGAAAAAATGTATTAATACTCTAGAACTGGTTTCATTTGCGCCTGGGTTGTAGACGATATCTTTAGTTATGGCATTTTCTTGAGTTTTAGGATACTAAATTGACACAATATTGTTACTTCAGCATCCAGGCACTTTTGAGTGCTCCAAATCCCGATGATCCGCTTTCTGAAAATATTGCTAAGCACTGGAAGTCGAATGAGGCAGAAGCCGTTGAGACAGGTAAAATATATAGTTAGTCTTGGATCGTCAGGATCGGTTCAATGACGATAGACTGTTACTTGATTCCTTCTTTACTGTTTTGTAGCTAAGGAATGGACCCGTTTATATGCGAGCGGTGCATGAAGACCGGTGGGATCGTCTGCCCTCGTAAAATAACATTTTATGCAATGTAAGCTACTCGACGTTGATTTCGTAGCGAAATTTGGACGAACGATGTTTGAAAGAGTTTGATATATTTGGAAAAGCTTCCGGTTGTTCCCTGCTAAAATCATAATCGGGTTGTGGAAGCAGTCACTGAACTTGTATGATGGTACACATTGTTATTCTGAAATTCCCAATTGATGTACTAAGGGATTAATTGTTCTCTAATATGGTTATTTCAAATTGAGTACTCTAATTTAGTCATCTCTGTTCGACGTATTCCGATACAGATTTGGGTATGGCTTTTTGAATGCGATTGTGTTGAAAGAATGTTATTCATAAATGTGTGCTCAGTCTTAACCCTTAGGGCAAATTAGGTGTCTAGTGTCTAAACTATCAATTTTGATTTGTTTTAGTACTTAAACTTTTGATTTTTTTTTAAAAGCATAACTAAAGTTTAGTTTTTACTTCATTTAGAACTTATGAATTAAGTACACATTTAATTTTTAACTTAATTATATTTTTGGTTTATTATACGTTTGATATTTATCTTTTATTATATTAAATAAAAAATAATGATTTAAGGGTTATTGTTGTCCCTGCAGTAAATTTAATTTATCACTTTCGTTCCTATTATATTTTTGTATCAATTTAGCCTTCGAAGTTGTTCAATTATATCATTCTATACGTTACTTTTAACTTAAAACCTCAAATTAAGAACCCTACACTATAACCTCTAAATCATAAATTTTAAACCTTAACTTAGTAATTGGAGATTTTAATTTAGGAATGGAATATAGAATGATACAATTAACTTTTAAGGTTAAATAGATGCGAAAATACGATAGAAAATACGATAAAGATAAAAATGATAAATTGGGTTTACTACAGAGGTAAAATTTACCTTTTGCCAAAAATAATTAATATTAAATATAATTTAAATGAGTTTATTATTTTTGAGTTAATAAAATTTAACAAAAAATAGAAAATCGAAGGTTACAATGAAAAAGTAAAAATAAAAATGAGTTTTTTAAAAAGATTATAGATGAAAAATATCATTGGACTTTTACTTTTTTTATAATATTTAAACCAACAATATTTTTTAAAACTTTTAATTAATTAAATTGGAAGAAATTATTTACCTAATTGATATTTAATTTAATTAATTCATATAAATTAAAATATAAATATGTTAATATAGATTAGAATAAGACTTGTGACGTTAAATTTTCGGTCCAAAACAATTAATAAGTAAAAATTAAAAACAAAGAGAGGGGAAAAAAAAGGGTAAAAACATTATAGATTTTTGTACTTTAATTTTTTTTTCTCTTAATATGATTCTTCAACTCAAAAAATAAATTTAATGTGATTTTTTTATCAACGATTTTTGTCATTGACTGTTACAGTACTGACATGACAATTCACGATACTGACGTGGTTGTTTATGATGTTAACGTAACAATTCATGGTGGTTTATGATATGATAGATGACTGTCAAACCAGTATCGTGAATCGTCACGTTAGTATCTTGAATTGTTACGTTAACACTATAACAATCAACGATGAAAAACGTGAATAAAGAATTATATTGAGTTTATTTTTTAAGTTGAATGACCACTTTGAAATAAAAAAAAATATGAGAACAATATTAATTTTTTTTTAAATACAGTAACATCTAATGGTTTTTTTTGTAAAAAAAATGAATGAAAATTCAACGTGGGGTTTTAGGAGGTTTTAAGCAGGGCAAGCCGGCAATGAAGGAAAGTACTCTGCTTCTCCTCCAACTAACACCAAAAGAAACCTTGACCCGCCCTCTGACTCACCGATTCAAACTCACCCAAATCCCCCCGAAAAAGAATGTCCTCTCAAAACCCAGACCCTAAACAATCTCCTGATCCCAAAACCATCAACGACCCAGAACCCAAGCAACCCCCAAATGAAGAATCAGAAGCAGAAGCAGCAGCAGCAGGAGGAGGAGAAGAAGAAGAAGAAGAAGAAGGGGAGTGTGGGTTTTGCTTGTTTATGAAAGCAGGAGGATGTAAAGATAGCTTTGTTGGGTGGGAAAACTGCATCCGAGAAGCCGAAGAAAACAAACAAGACATTGTGGAAAAATGCTTTGAAGCAACCGCAGCTTTGAGGAAGTGTATGGAGGCTCACGCCGATTATTACGAGCCGATTTTAAGAGCCGAGAAGAAGGCCGAGGAACAGGCTATTATTGAACTGGAGAAAGAGAAGAAGGAGATGGATTTGGGTACTCATGAAGATTCCAAGGATTTGCAGAAGAAATCCGATGGTTAGTGAATTTTGGTCATAGTGGAGTGTTTGACTGAATTTTTAGAAATTTTATTGCTTTGGGAATAATTGTTTTTATATTTATGTGAACTAATTGAATGTTGGACTGCTCAATTGGATAGTTATCTATTCCAAAGATTTGAAATTTAAACATCTAAATTGGAGATTCAAGTTCCAAAGGTAATTGCATTTGCTTTTGGATTGTTTTTGTATGCTGATCCTTAATCTTGGTAGATGTCTTCATTTCCAGTAATGGCTTGAATCCGTGATTATTGATTTAGAAGGATCCTTGGCAATGCTGATTTGTGATTAGGCATTGCTTTTATCGAGTTTATTATCGATATTCAGAACAATTCTTTTCTAAGTGCATAGAGTATACTCCTTTAACGGTGAATCAAATATAAAATCGATCATTAATGTATCGACGTAAAAACAAGTGGTCTCCTTCGTTAGTATTCTTGGAAGAAGGCAATAAGTGATCTGAATTCGCTTGTTATGTCTTCTAAACTGTTATCATGGCTTCTTTAATGTTGGCAAATGTTGTTTTTAGATCGTTTTAGAATCTGTTGTTTCAGGTTCACTTATTACTTCATCTTTTATCCGTAGTTTGATTGATTGAGTAGTGAAATCTCATAACTTACACTTCTCTAGGGGAGGACTTTCTTATGATAATAATCTTTAGCTGATTTCATTACTTGAGCAGTTGAGCCATGCTATCCAAGTCCAAGAACAAGACAATATCTATTGCAACCTTTCTTGGTTTACTTCGTTTGTTCATAAGTTACCGAAACTAGCCATAATTGCTGGACTGAGGGCATTGTTGATGTTGTGACGGATTAGACGTAATTGTTCTTCCCACCGTGTCGTGAAATAGGAAATACAATTTTTCGTTTTCAAAGACTCAAGAGTTCAGTTTGGTTGGTGCTTTTTACTATATTGCCTCTTGTTTTTTTTTTTTTGCAAGTTTATACTTCATGTTTGCCAATAAATTGATAGGTGAATGGAAGAACAAGTTGAAGGAAATCTAGAGCCTATTTGCTTATTGTAAAAGATACTTTTTCTGTGATTGGGAGATAGTAGACAGATTCCTGAAGTTATTCAGTTCTTTCATGCAATCTCTTTTAAGAGTTGGCATCTAGTAGGTCTAGCATTCGAACCTCGACATTTGCAACTGCTTCTTATATTCTCAGGCCGAGGCCTCTAACGTAAAAAGGTAAAACGTAGAGGACTTATCTTTCATAGATAATTGCAAAATGACATATAGTCCTATTTCTCTTTTACCGGTGAAGGTAAGCTCTATATACTTTCTCTATTAGCTCCTGTTCTGTGAGCTTTTACATCTGCTTTATTTTACCAAGTTAACTCTAGAACAATGTTTAGAGGCCCTGTGGCAGAGATGAAAGCAACAAGAGAACAAAACGCGACCAAATAAACGAGATTTCCTTGTTTATAAAGCCCTTTACTTCGGTCGCATTTTGTTCTCTTACATTCTATGTTATTGTACTGCATGCTGTATGCTAAACAGAAATGCAGAATGCTAAATGTGCTTCCATTAACCATGTCTATCAAGCATGACAGATTTCCAAAATTTTCAGTGTTTTCCAATCATAGAAAAAATAGCACCGGTGGATTTCCGAAATTTACAATTACATTCTACTTGTACATCCAGTCCAAAGTCTTTCTGTAGCTGTTCCCCTACAAAGACCTGTGTCTCGATTCGAATACAAGTGTACTTAACACTAGAAGCTAATTCCGAATCTTGTTCTTCACAGGACACCTCTGAAAATTTGTTCCTGCAATCCACTTCCTGGAATCTCGAGTACTCTTACATTCTCCTCTTTTACCGCCTCTTTGTCCATGTCAGCACTATGGTCATCGAGACGAGGGTGATCCATTTGCTGTATGAACTCCGCTTTTGTTACGGTGACAGCTTCATCGTCGTCACCACATCAACCCTTTGTTTGGGACATGGAGTTGGGTTCTTGAGAAGTACCGACTCTAGGCCAGTCCTCCAACTCAATCCTAGCTTCTCTGGAGAAAAATTACGGTCAGAGCCTTGTACAGATCCGTCTACTAGATTTCCCTTCATACCTATATCTGCTCTAGTCCATTCCATAACTTGTAAGGCCGGGTTATTACACAGCTCCTCTGCACCAGTATCGGTTATTTCCGTTTTACCATTGATTTCCAATTCTTGTATATTGTCGTCTCCAACGAACTCGGTGACTATTTCAGCACAAGCTTCATTTATATAAATGTTATCATCCAAAAGCTGCAAAGAATCGGCTAATTGATCTCCTACGGAATGAACGTCTACGCCTGTTGATTCTTCGTGTCTCGAATGTTCTGTTGAATTATCTTGTTGCGAAGACAATGTATTGCCAACTTCTGTATAATCATCGAGATCAGATTTTGTTTCTTTAAACTTGAAGAATGATGAGCTTTAAGAGGTGGCAGAAGTTACCTGATTGTCCATCGGCTTTGTTGAATTGATACAAGGGCTTCGAAAGCAGTATCGTACCGGGAAATACCATCAAGTTGATCTTGTTAAGAATTTTTCTTTCCTCGTTCTCCACCGGCTTGAAACCAAAACCCTTGGTCCATGTTTCCGCTACATTCGGAATGGCAGTTGTCACGAGCTTTTCCACCTTGAATGAGATGAGCAGCTAGAGCACACATCGATCCGCAGGGTGAATAAAACAAAGAAAATTCAGTTAAAAATACGACAGGTGACGAAACTCATAAGTCATAAGCAACAATGTCTATTGACTGTGAGGAGATTTTACAAGCCATAAAGAGCCATGAAAGCACATGGATAAAGGAGAACAGAACACACCTCTTCGATAACATTCATAAGGCTTCGACACATTCCTTGACGACGGTACTTGCTGCAAGTTGCAATAAGAGGCATCTCTGCAACTGCTACCCCATGCATCCTAATACAAATGATGGAGAACCCGAAAGTAAACAGAAATGTGGATGAAGAAGGATCAAACTCATTATATCGGAAAATCTGAAAGGTATTTGCTTAATAAACTAGGAGAAAGCAAAGGCAAGAAACAACAGAGAATGTGGTATAAATTTATCAAAATATCCACAATACTACCTGATTGATGCTACGGATATAACCACATCATCCTTCTCCAATACAAGAGAGTAAAATTCGGAAAAATTCAAGCGTGCAAATTCCGACCTGATCATTTAGAAAACAAAAACATGTGAATCATAAGTGATCTTGAAATCAGAAAATGGACACGAACATCGTAAGAGACAGGTCAAGAACTAGATGATAAGGACGACACAGAAAATAAACCAAAATATACAGTTTGTCTATGAACTATATGATCATGATAAATCTGCATGAAATAAACAAAAAATAATTTAATCATCAAACCTAAGACTATGCAAAGAATAACAGAAAAAATACTCTGAATGTAAAGAGGAAGTTAATAAAAAAGAAACCGTGGCGTCTCACCCCCAATTGTACATGAGATGGGGCATCATGTCGACGCCTGTTCTCGGATCAACCATAGACAGAAAGCATTCTTCCATGATAGACAAAGCAACGGCCAGTTTCGAGTTGCATTCAGCCTTCAGGGCCAGCCTTTGAGCGGAGTGAATTTTCTGATCTTCATGAATGCATCGTAGAAGTGTCCAAGAAAAGCCATCAGAGAGGTGATTAACCATCCCGAGACGAGAACCAAGACCAGAGTGCATCTGCAAACACCGGTGAAACTTGCATCAGAACTTGGACCGTGGTATAATGTGGACAACACCAAGCTACACAAAATAAGGCATGTTGCTAAACAAACTCAGGCAACATCAATGTTGTGCTGAGCAATCAACATAAAACCAGCTCCAGGGGAACAAACGACACGATAAAAAGCCATGAACATACGTGCAAAGACTTAAACCCACATCTACCTCATTGTTGATTCAAAATAAAAGTAAGGGAAAAGACTTTGAACTTATACACGGAATACCGAAACTATTTAATATACTAAATCCATAGTTCTTTACAACATAAATCAGATTCGAGAAGTTTGAATCTCAAAAGTACCTCCTTGCAGCTTCCTCCACAAAACCAAGTATCAGAAACCTTTTCTTCAAACCGACCTTTATCATCCAGGCATGCCTTATGATCTGTTTAGAAACAGTGTGATAAGCTTGGAATTAGGAAAACAAATCACCAAGTATCATAAAAGCACTCGAGTTAAATACACAAGCACTTTCCACAAAAAGCCTAAACTTGTGTATCTTATTCTCTATTTTTAATTTTTATACTTTTAGCCTACCGGTCTTCATGTACCACGGCACTCGTGTTCTGGATGATGAATAAAAATCTCAATTTCTTTTAAAAGAAAAAGAAAAGATAATGCAGAACAAAGGTCTTAGATTTTCAATGTTATGCTCTACAATAGATATGCCTATTTGGTTACGAGATTATTTACTTTTGAATTTCCTCACCGCAAAAACCGAATCAAGAAACAAATGAAAGAAAAATGTTCTTTAAAAAGGATAACTAGTTATCCATCCCAAGTTCTTAATAAACAATCAAAAGCTTTTGCCTTTCAGAGGAAATGTCATGTTGAGGGGAAAGAATTACATTTGTGTTCACACTGCAAACATTTGAATGGATCAAGTGAACTCGAAGCATCTTTATCATCAACAAAATTGCCACATATCCAACAATTGCAATTCGAGCAATACCAACTGCCTTCTGGTAGTTCCTGGAAGCAACAAATTGAAGCATGAGAAATAATTAGTGCCAAATACAAGGCGCCTGCTATTACACTCAACCTAAGCTCCATTACACAATCATCAATGAGATTTACCACATAGAATGTGCACCAGCTACATGATTCTAACATGTCCATCTTTCTACTCTTAAAGCTCATTATCTATGAGGGAGTATATTTAATTTTTATTTTTAAAGGTCTTAAAGGTCATTATTCTTCCAAAAATATATAACCATGCAAATGCTAAAGTTGGCATAGCTTAAATTCCCGCAGGTTTTGGGTTGTCGAGGCAACTTAAATCAATTTATGGAACATTTGAGGCCAAAATGAAATTTTACCAAGACTAAACAACGATAAGTGAGACTAGGCCAAATATATTTTGACATAAGTAAAATTAGTTAAGCTGCAAGAAAAGGAAAGAAAATAAGTAGAAGAATTAAGAATAAAGATCGATGAGAAAAAGTATAGGTCGATGCAAAAGAGCATAAGTCAGCAAAGAACAAACCCCCATAGACAAGCAAGCTGGATGAAAAGTAGATGGGCAGTTGTCGCAACAAATCAGTTCACCGACATCCCCACATATGCCACAGGAATCATCGTTTTGATCATTTGCCTCATCTTCCACCTTCTGGATCCCCTTTTTTCTGGTCTTGTACTCCGCAGACCATGCCTGCAGCTGACATAAAGTGAAAGACTTACCAGATTCCATGAAAAGATTCATGCAGGGACGGTTAAACTTGAATCCAGCGTGAGTCTTAAACTCGGAAACTGATAGAACCCTACTGCAACAACTGCATGTTATTCCATCCCAGGAAACAAGACCATCTTTAATGATAGAATCATCCTTGGGGTTCCGATATTGGATGACATCATTCAGAGAAATAACCCCAGCTAGGATCAACCAGGAGAGCACTGTCCTGGATCCAATATTATACAACTGAACTTCAGTAATATGCTTCCCTCCTTTACCCATGCCTCGAGGAAGCAACTTGCAGCGGTTCTTCTTGCTCTTGAACTTGGTCCGAGCTCTCTTTTTGGGGGCCTTCAATTTAGATCTGGTAACAGTCGAGCTTAAGTCTTTGTTTCTTATTATAGCAGAAACCAACAGATCATCATCTTGGATTTGGCATTTAGTTGATTTCTTTTTTCGGTTTTTAGGACCGTCGCGATTTCCACATCTCTTAAACTTCGAGCCTTTTTTCTCCACTTGATGCAGGGAAGAGCCAAAAGATGAGTACCGGCATAGGTTTCCTGTGGTTACAAAGGATTCTTGGACCTCTTTTGCATTTAACTTAACCTGGCATGTGTCTGTGTCATGATGATCATTCATATAAGGAGTATACGAATATAAAATACCACTTCGATTTAACGCAGCTAATCTAAGTTCAGATATCTTTCTGGATCTCCTGCATGCCTTCTTTTTCAAAATAACACCTTGTGAAGAACCTATATCTTTTGTTCCAAACTTCAGAGCTTCAGTGAACTTCTCAAACCGGTACTCATTATACCTAGATGTTTTATCATTTTTCTCCGAAGACTTGAACGATACATCTCCCGGAACTTCATTAGGAACTTTTATGTTATATTCAGAAATTTGTTTCTCGGAATTTGGAGAGCTTGTGTTGCTATATTGGTAAGTGGTGGCAGATTCAGAACCCTGAAGTACGTCAGAAACATCTCCAGAAGCAGCACGATCAATATACTTAGAACTGCCTAGCTGGCCATAGGTGCTACCCGACCCAAAAACATATGATGAAGCCATATTCCGACCGTTAAACTTGCGATCAAAAGTTTCTGACCTGGTGGCAGTATCTACTTGGTCAGTTGTATAAACAGATAAACCTTCCAGACCTTTCACTGCCCCACTACTCATTTTGTCATAGAATTTTGACAAACTTCCATTGCCAGATAGCCCATTACAGGTATCGTAACTCCTCTCAAAAGCTGTCAATGAGCTTTCAGCAGCCAGAGAATAATCACAAAGCTGAGTTGGCATATGCCCCTGAGAACATAACCTTTTTTTAGTAATGTTCTTTCTCCGCACTAAAACAGCATCATTTTTCTTGTTCTTTTGAATAGCTAAACTGCTCACTGCTTTAACCTCATCGCCCTTTCTTAATGAACCGATCTTCCTGTTAACGAATACAACATTTACAAAGGGGTCTAATATAGTCCAATAATGAGCCAATGTATGAGGAAGGTTGGGTTGGTTACATTCTTTCTCGATTCTCATCAACAAATCTAATAGATCAGACCAGAACTGGTCCATATCAGTCCATTTCTTGCCAGAATTATCCACCGTGAAGTTGTGACTATTCGTCAACAGAACCTGGCCAAAAAACCTCCAAACATTAGGGAATTCACGAAATAGCCTCCCCTCGGGTGATCTGTAAACTGTTTCCACATAAGTCCGGCAGGGTCTTTTACGTCTCTCAATAGACCAGCCTGCTCTTCTTAGTATGTTAAAAACAGGGCGCTGAAGAAGAGGACGAGGATCCTTCTTAGAGTCCAGTTCCCCGAAAATATCGCAATCCCCCACTCCATATGATTGAAATCCACCAAGTCCTTCCTCTTCACATAAAGGAGACTTGAACTTCTCCGTGCCAGTGGCGGGACTAGAAACCACAAGCTTTGATGCAAAACTCTCCTGCAAGACAGGTGAAGCCATAGCTTTACCTCTGCCCTTACCAACATGCCGCTTCAACAGACCGGAACTAGATGTAACCCCCATGGACGATGATTCAATTAAATGGTGCGTAACTATTTGGCAAACAGAATTCATAGGCGTCGAAGACAAGCCAGTAATAATTTTGTTCTGCTGCAATGGTGCATTTGAAATCGTTCTCCTTTCTGCTTTACCCCTAGAAACTTCAGCCGCCGAAAACTTCATTCGCTTGACACTCCCATTCAGGTCATCTCTCTCTGCCAGACTAAATCTTTCAGGAAAGCTACCTAACGCAGAAACTCCACCAGAACTCTCAATTACTGCATTAGTATCCTCCTGGTATAATTTTTTTGAGCAAGACCAGCTTGTTACTGCCGAGTTTGCACTATTAGAACACAGTGATTTATCTAATTTCTTGCTTTGCTTAGATTCAAAATTAAGTACACCGGTAATAAGATGCTTTTTACTTGTGCTGCCACCATCATTTCCAAAGAAAACCTTCATAAAAATGTCGTGCTCATCATGTGACCCCTTAAATCCGTCATCATGCAGATCTTCTGTATCTTCACTGAACGACATCTCTGCAGAATGCAATCCCACTTTGCACAATCTATAAGCGAACAATAATTAAAGGTATTAGATGTATCCCTCCATAATTAATGCTTTAGATTCAAACCACCCAACTGTTATATGACATGCAAGAGAAACAACTTACGTGCACGGATATAACAATCAATTTATTAAACCGGAAACAACGTCATCATAGACATAGTTCAGAATCAGATATAACAAGAGAAAGGATTTCCTATTTAATCATACCATACTATCGGTATATGTGCTGGAAACTGATGCTGCAACAAAACATTGTTTGTCGATATACATTTCGGAGCTACAAAGATCTTAAAACATGCAAATCAGTCTTAGAAGGATTCTTAAAACTTCTTTCCTAAATCATACTTGAGCTGTTAATAGGTTCGTATCGAACATAAAGGTTTCCAAAATTACCCTAATATAAACATGCACTAACTATGCTCTTTCATGATGCTTTAAGCATCCTCACCCCATTAACGAAAAACCTTCTTACGACAATATCAATGCCACTGCCAAGGTGTCCAATAATTCAATCGACACAATAAGATCAACTTCAAACCTTTTTACTTGGACGTCTTTTCTTCAATTTTTGTGCACTTTTGCTGGCAAGGTGTTAGGTATATCAAATATATCAAATCTTCGTTCCCATAACCCGTTATGACATTTATTCAATCAGAAAGAAGCTCGTCATATGTATAATTAGTTCGGATATAACGAAAACAAAATCGAAAAACTCATACTCAAAGCAAAACAAAACTCCAAATTCGAAACACAATCAATAAAGAACTGCACTTGCACTATAAATTGCACATCCAGGTCTATATAATTATGCCATTAATATCTATGCTACAAACCACAAATTGAACTTCAAAAGAATTGAAATATATACAATTATGCCATTAACACAGGAATTAGGCAACTCAATAATGCACCAGTTAAGGAAACAATAGTTGTAAATTTGGGGGGGAATTTTCAAAAATTTTATAGGAGCTACAATTCTCAACATTTCCGTCCCCAATTATCACTTCCAATAACCTGAATTCAAAGAAAAACCCAGAAAGTATCCTTGAAAAGAAAAGAGTAGTTCAGCTGAAAAATCACTTGAAAAGGTAAAGGAATCCAAAATAAAAAAAATTCAAGGACCTAAAAGTAAAAAAGTCAAACCAGATGTAGATCAAAACCCAGAAAGCCAAAAGCAGGAAGAAAACCACATATACATCCGATACCAAACACCAAAACTTCATCCAATAACTTAGAAACAAAAAGGGCTAACCTTTACAATGCATGTTCTGATCAGCATGCAAAAGTAGATCAAGGAACAAACTTTACTTTAGGGTTCAATAGAGCAAGAGCTGAAATGGGATAATCTTTAAGAGAGAGAGAGAGAGGGGATAGAATCTAAAGATAAAAGATTTGAAAGTTGCAGAAAAATGGGAATATGCTTGCTTCTTTGTGCTTTGTCGTCTTCATCAGCTTAACATAGGGACTAAAGCCGCAACTTTGAAACTGAAAGGCTTAAAAAAACAACTAAATAGAGCTCCATAGTATAACAGGTCCATGAGAGTGTCTATGTCATGGTATATGTACTTCTATATCTCTCTACACAGTAAAACAGATCTACAGTAATACTTATTATTTATGTATATTTCAGATTTAATTATAAAAAGAATACACTTTGTATCAAAACATAATCTTTTGTGGATCAAAAGATTTGATAATAAAAAAAAAAACATGTCTTGACAAGTTATGATGCAACAGCTGTTGGATCAAGTGTTGAGTAGGATGGGAAAGTTGGGAAAGTTCAGGAAATACAGCTAAATTTCATTCTTTTAGAATTCGTTCACATTTATATTAAATTAGGGTAAATCACGCACTTAGTACTTAAATTATTAGTTTTGTTCTGTTTTAGTATTTAAATTTTTATTTTTAATTCATATCAAAAGTTTAAGTTTTTGTTTCATTTTAATATACGTTAAAATCTTTAGCTTTTATTTTATTTTAATATCTCGTTCAAAATTTAACGTTAAGTCTTAAAAATGAAAGTCTAGATACTAAACGAGCTAAAATTAATAGTTTTGGTACTAAACATGTTAAGTTTTTAATGACATATACTAAAAAGAAATAAAACTAAACATTAAGTATGATTTTAAACAAATGAAAATTTAGGTATTAAAATAGATAGAACGGATAGTTTAAATACTAAATGCGTAGTTTACCCATTAAATTAATACAAAATGATCCATCCAGAATCTATATCGTATTTACAAGCAAGCCTTATGAAAAGAATAGTAATAAGCCCTGTTTGAACTTTCAAAACCAGAAATTTTCACAGGTTACTATAGATAGGGCGAGCAAAACTCGATTTTATTAAAAAAATGATTTTTAACTCGATTTAATTAGAGAAAATTTGATTTGAAATAATTTTGTGGTGTAATTTTATAAATTTGACTAAAAAAAATTAAGTTCATATAGAGTTATAAATACAACTCGAATAATTCATAATTTTTAATAATTAGTGAATTGATTTTCAAGTTTAAGTCATGTCACTCGACTATATATAATATATGTATATCATACATGAATAAATTATGAATATATATATGTGTATTATATATGATTATAAAAATGATTTAAATTATAATCAAAGATGATCATAATATTATAAATATTTACAATTAAATTTAAACAAAAACTCGAAAATTTAACCCGACTCGCCTCCACTCAAATTTTATAAACTCGGCTCGAAAAAATTTAAAGTCTACCTCAAATTGTAAAATATGACTCGTCAACTCAAATAACTCAAAATTCATAACTCGATTTGACTCAATCAAACGCTCACACTTAATCATATCTTATTTGTATTTCAATAAAGAATAAAAAATGACGTCATAAATAATAAAAATTGGTGGTGTCAAGGAAGTTTCAGATATGATATCGACTTTCTATGGTACCTGAGGGATGTATTTCGTAATTTTGCACCTTTTTATTTTGCTTTTCATGTTAGAATTATCTTCCAATTCTATCCGTGAGAAAAATCCCAGCATTAACTGCAAACTATTAATTTTGGGTAAGTACGAGGTAATATATGTTCATAGATAACTCTTAACCTTTCGATAATGAACGCTCGCACCCCTGATATTTATAGTGTTCGAACCCAGATATCAAGGAATAACAACAATTCTTTTATCACATAGCTCAGTCGGAACAAACCGTTTATATGTTCAATTTTTAGTTTTGCCTTTTCAAGCTAATTAGGAAATGATAAAATTACAACACTAATGCTTAAACTCTTTAAAATTCATAGTTTAAATTTCAATTTTATCATATGTTCAATTTAATCACTACCTTCACCAATATTTAAAATGTAAAACAAAAGGGGAAAAAAGGAAAATTGGGAAAACGAGATTGTTCGTGAACATAAACAAACCGAATACACCTTTGTTCGTGTTCGTTCGTTTATTAAATGAACATAAAAAATTTATTCATACCCGTTTATTTAGCTTAACAAATGAAATAAAACGAACGGTTCACGAACAGTTCACCGAAAGCTCTGTTCATTTACACCCTATATGTGCTTTAAAAGTTATTAGAAACGTATAAGTATGGGGTTTTTTAGAGAATTATATTAAAAATTTATAAAGACGTTAAACTGAATATTTCATGAAAAATATAAAAAATTATCTAAATTACATGAAATATTAAACTTTTTAATAATATAACCACCTTCAACACCCCTCTATCTAGGGGTGTATTCGGTTCGGTTCAGTTCGGTTTTTTATCAAAAATTGAACCGAACCAAAATAAACGGGATTTTAATATTTAAACCGAAACCGAATAGTTAAAAAATCGAAATCGGTTTTTTCGGTTCGGTTCGGTTTTTTAAACGGTTCGGGTTTTTCGGTTCGGTTCAGTTCGGTTTATCGGTTTTTCAATAAAAAAATCACTTGAAACTATAATTGTTTTTACAAAAATTACCTATTTGGTTCAATATGGAACAAATGGGTTCCATATGAAAAACCCGAACCGAACCGAATCAAAAAAATGAAGCCTTTAAACCGAACCAAAAACCGAACCGTTTAAAGCCAAATCGAACCGAACCGTTTTACTCGGTTCGTGTCGATTTTTCGATTTTCTCGGTTTCGTTGCTCAGCCCTACCTCTATCCGGGCAAGTTTGTGTCATTCTTTCTTCTTTAAAAAAGGCAGATTGTCGAGGGAAATAAATTCTTCCTTCATGGATTCAACTCCGAAAGTAGATAATCAGATAAAATTGAGTGACTACATATGTTTGATCGGCTTAATAAAATCCTATGTACAAAATTTTAGCAAAGGTTTCTAAAAGGTGGAAGTCGATGGCCGGCAAGTTAATCGTCGATACACAGCCGGCTTTGATAGAAGGCCGGCAGGTTCTCGACGATATCTTGCTCGCAAATGAAACGATCCATTCCCTCAAGCTGTGGTCCGCCATTCTGCGGCAGCAGCGACGGCGGAGGGTGGTTTATGTTCATTTTCTTCAGGCGTTGTTGATGCTGATATACTTGTGTTAGTCTCCCAATTTCCCTCTTCAATGCTTCTTGATGAGCTGATTAAGGTGATTGGAAACACATTTTATTATGGAATTTGCATGCCATATATATATATATAAGGGTAAAGTATACAAATGGTCTCCGACTATAGAGTACTACTTTATTAAGTCTCACGACTGTTAAAAGTTACAAAATGGTCCTCCGATTATTGAGTGTTGCTTTGTTGAGTCCCTTGATTATTGAAAGTTACAAAAATGGTCACCTAACTATTCATTATGTTCTAAACTTGTCCTTTTCCGTTTAAAAATTGATGGTATTCTGAGCTAAATGTGAACTTATTGATTGTGATATGATAAAATTTAATCTAAAACCTCAAACGACTATCATATTTCAATCATCATGTTAAAGTCCAACTTAGACAACCATCAATTTTTTTAAAGAAAAATGATGAGATAGGAACTTAATGAATTGTTGGATGGTTATTTTGTAACTTTTAATAGTTAATGGACTTAACAAAGTAACATTCTATAATCAGATGATCATCTTGTAACTTTTAATAGTTAAAGGACTTAATAAAACAATATCCTATAATCGGAGGACATTTGACAAGACATAAGTTTATAGAAAAAAAATAATTCATCAACTAAAATTAGGGTAAACTACATCGTATGCAACTGAACCTTAGGAAATATATCGTTTATACAACCGAACTCTCAATTGCTTCAATTATTACACTAAAATTTGGTTTTAACTTCAATTATGTCAGAGGATTGTTAATTTTTAACGGTACTATGATGTAGACAGATCTTTCCATCACTGTGATGATATGGACAAAAAGATGTCATTTTGACATGATTATTTATGTCCAAAACGATGTCGTTTTAGACATTTAACTTTAATATTGTATCGATTTTATAACTAAACATTTACAAGATTCGGTTTTAAGCACTACATTTTTTATCAATAGCCGAAAAAGTGTTGTGTCAAAAAATAAAATATTTAAAATTTTAGTGATAAAATCTATACACCTATAAAGTTTAGTATCTAAAACGACGTGTGGAAAAATTTAAAGTATATAATTAATAATTAATGAACAAGTGGTCATACCATCTTTGAAAATCTTGTCTTGAGCCAAAGCAGCAATTCTTTGCTTTAAAGCACCATTTTCAACCGTAAGCATCAATCTTTGCCGATCCAGAAATGTAACCCTCGGTGATAATGCTGATACTTCACTCTTCATTTTGTTATATACGTAGAAAAATACGTACATGTCATATATACATATATATACATATGCATGCATCATGCATGAATGCATGTATACCTGTAATGTTGTTACGCTCCTTTCAAGCTCTGAAATATATTGCAGCTTTTTCACTCTCGATCTTTGCGCTGATTGCCGATTTGCCAGAATTCTTATGATCCATGAAAACAAATTAAACAATTCATTGAAAAATCAAGCTTTAATGGGTTTTGATTTTTGTTTTTGTTTGATACTATATGTTTTTTTACCTCTTAACCCTCTTTGGATCGATGATATGATCACCGCCATTGGAGGAGGTCGATGGAGGTTCCGCAGCTTGTGTTTCGTTTACTTTGCATGAGCTTTCCACCTCTCCCCGCGCCGGCTTCTCGTCGTTGTTGCTATTCTGATCCGATGTCGGCGGCGTGGAAGGGCTCGACGATGAAACCGTCATTATCGGCGGCACGGTGAATGTGACTTCGTCGGTGAACATGGCCTTGAGCTGCTCGTCGTCGAGGCGGTCGAGCATGTTCGGTTCCGTCATCATGGCATTGACGATGACACCCCTAGTTTCTTCCTCCAATGGTTGGTTGAGGAAGGCTATGGAGTCGACGCTGATGGAACGGCTGTGGGCTCCGCGATGTGTCGTTGAGAAGTTGAGGAACTCGTCAGCCCACGACGGCTGGTCGTGGTGGTGGTTTTGATGGTTGGAGTCATTCGTGACGGTGGTGGTGGAAATGAAGTTTGCCATTGTGGGAATTTCTTTTTGACGAGGAAACGAAGTTTAATGGACGTTTGTTGGGATTTTATTTAGGGTGGATTTTGGATGTGAAAATTTGCCATTCTAAATCAATGGTAAAATCGATAGAAAAATTATATTAAATAATAAATATATTTAACAAAAACATAGCACGTTTTTTTAATAAAATGATTATTGTTATTATTAGAAGACCCGAATATCGTAGATATTTTATACTTACACTGATTAATACAAAAATACAGATTAAATTTAACAATAATATATTTATTTAATATATATTTTAAAAATAGGTAGAAGGGTAACTTTTGCTCCTGTAGTAGACTCAATTTATCAATCTCGCCCCTATCGTATTTTCACATCAATTTAGCACTGAAAGTTGTTCAATTGCATCATTCTATATCATGTCCCTAATTTACAACCCTAAATTATAAACACTAAATCCTAAACCATACACATAACATCTAAACCATAAATCTTAAACCTTTAACATAACTAAGGGCTTATAATTTACGGTTTTAAGTTAGGTATAAGATATGGAATAATGCAATAAATAATCTTAAGGGTTAAATTGATGCGAAAATACTATAAGACCGAAAATGATAAATTGAATCTACTACAGGAACAAATGTTACCCTTAAATCTTAAAAATAACTGTGAATTTTCATATATATTTTTGAAAAATAATTTTTTTTATTTAATTGGTATTTAAAAATATATACAAAATTAATTAAAATTAATGAGTCAAATAAGATATAACCTATTATCAATTTTATGTACTACATCGTTTCATTTAATAGCTACCGATGATAGTAACGATGCAATACTAATTTCATAATAAATTTAAAAAATTTAAATAAGGTGTACAAATGGTATCTGAGTATAGAAACATTGTTTTATTGAGTTCCTTAATTATTACAAATTATAAAATAATTTTTTGACTATAGGTTTTATTTTGTAGGGTCTCTCGACTATTAAAAGTTATAAAATAATCATACAACTATATTCACTTGTTTCAAACATGTCATTTTCCGATGAATTCTATGATCAAATTTTATCATATTTTAGTTAGTGTTTTATGTTCATCTCAGAGTGTCATCATTTTATTAACCAAAAACGATGAATTTGGAATATATGAATAGTCGAGTGATCATTTGTAACTTTTAATAGTCATGAGACTTAACAAAGCAACATCATATAATCGAATGATTATTTCATAACTTTTAATAGTCAAGGTACTCAACAAAAGGATGAGTTTGGAACATATGAATAGTCGAGTTATCAATTGTAACTTTTAATAGTCGTGAGACTTAACAAAGCAACATCATATAATCGAATGATCATTTTATAACTTTTAATTGTCAAATGACGCAACAAATCAATACCTTATAGTTGATGGACTATTTAATGTACTTTACCCAAAAATAAATTTAAAAATTTAATATATAAAAGATTTATGGGTAAATAATGTGTTCAGTATCTAAACTATCAGTTTTGATCTGTTTTAGTAACTAAACTTTCAATTTTTTAGAACTATACCTAAAGTTTAGTTTTTGTTTCACTTTAGTACCCCGTTCAAAATTTAATATTAAGTTTTGAAAAAAAATTAAAAGTTTAGGAGGTAAGAAAACGGACCAAAACTGATAGTTTAGTTACTAAAAGCGTTAAGTTTTTAACGACGGGTACTAAAATGAAACAAAAACTAAATGTTAGGTATGAGTTTTGGAAAAAATTAAAAGTTTAGGTGTTAAAATGGACCAAAACAGACAATTTAGGTACTAAATGCTTAGTTTACCCAAGATTTAATGACCGTTTTTTTAATTTTTTTTCCCAATTCAAACTCTTTCTCTAATGCCAATCATCTTTGCCATTTGATACCATTTCCTATATATATGTATATATATATAAGTTCCATAAAGAAATCGGAACCGGCGAGCCAATATGGCGGCTTATAGATCGGACGACGACTACGATCTCTTATTCAAGGTGGTGTTGATCGGAGATTCGGGTGTTGGCAAATCGAATTTGTTGTCCAGATTCACGAAGAACGAGTTTAGCCTTCAATCAAAATCCACAATCGGAGTTGAATTCGCCACCCGAAGCATTCGGGTCGATGATAAGGTCATCAAGGCCCAGATTTGGGACACTGCCGGACAAGAAAGGTACATTCTTGTGCTTGTTTTCTTTTTTTTATTATTATTAGTTGTAAAGTTTTTGAATTTTGATGGATTGAGGGAAATTAGGTGTTTTCCGTATTGGTGCATTGAATTAGTAGAATGGATGTTTATAGAATTTTGGATTGGGGGGAGCTGTTTGGTTGCTGAGAAAATGTAGGAAAAATACACACGCATGATTCTCATATTCTCATTTGTATTCGGGTAATTTTAGAATTTCATACGGATTTGAGGAAAAGATTTGGTTTGGCGAAAATGGTATTGAGCAATTTGTGTTGTTCTTTGGATTGCTTGGTTGCTAAGAAAATTAGGTGTGCTTTTAGATTGGTGCATGTTTAAGCCTATATGAAATGCAATTTGGGTTAGAAATTAGCATGTATTCGATTATATTCGAAATCTCATTTCGTTTACTAACGGACAAAGCTTAAGGAAAATTTGTATATGTTACGACTTGATTCATTACTGAAAATGTTGAAGAAAAAGGAAACCAACTTCTCTTAGAAGTTCTAGTTGAATCATCAAACTGTATTTGCAAGTGTCTTTAGGATATAGATCGGTCGAAGAGGAAATCCTCTGTGTTTCTTATGTATGGATCATATTTGTTGCTGTATTTATTCTATAGATCGACCTTGTTTTGGTGTTAAAGTTATTGTTATCTATGAATTGAGGATGTTGTCAAGTTTCTTTTTCAGTTCCGATCATTCTTTTATCCGTTACTCTAACGGTCGGACTTGTATAAAATGCATTTTTTACATTTCTCTAGATGATATATCTTATAAATATAAAAAACACTGCATCAAGAAGCTTCAGGGGATGAAATGAAAAACCTTGATTGGCTCTCCTTGGACTCGAATGTTTTGGTTGCCGGAATATCCGGTAGGGTGTGCAACTTCTATGCTATGTAAAAATCTCTTGACTGAATTTGGTGTCACTAATTCAAGTGCATTTGGTTGTGGTGTTATTGATGTAAAATGTAGATAGAAATTACTTTATAGAAATGAAAATTCTTGGTCGACTCTACTTCGACTCGAATGTTTTAGGTGCCGAAATTTCCAGTAGGTTGTGCAACATCTTTGCTATGTAAAAATCTCTTCAAAATGCATTTGATTGAGGTGTTATTGGTGTATAATGGAGATAGAAATGATTTTATGCTTGAATCACACTTTCTCCTATAAGTCGATTGTTTCTTAAGTATTCTGAGAGTTGATTTATTGTTGTATTATTTTCAAAGATACCGGGCAATCACGAGTGCGTACTATCGAGGAGCCGTCGGTGCATTGCTTATCTATGATGTCACTCGGCGTGTCACATTCGAGAATGTTGAGAGATGGTTGAATGAACTACGGGCTCACACGGATTCCAGTACCGTGATTATGCTTGTTGGTAACAAGGCAGACCTGCGACACTTGCGTGCCGTTTCCTCCGAGGATGCCACGGCATTCGCCGAAAGAGAAAACACCTTCTTTATGGAGACGTCTGCTCTCGAGTCAACGAACGTTGACAATGCATTCACCGAGGTGCTAACTCAAATATTCCGGGTTGTCAGCCGAAAAGCACTCGAAGCAGGCGATGATCATGCAGCATTGCCTAGGGGACAAAGCATCAATGTTGGAGGGAAGGATGATGTTTCCGCCCTCAAGAACACTGGCTGCTGTTCCGCTTAGCCGTCGGGTGATTTCGGTGTCCTAGTTTCCTCCATTTTTAATCTATTCAATCACAAGACTTTCCTCATTGTTTTAGGATCCTTAAGCTTCCCTGAGATTCGAGGTTCGAGACAACAGAAACCGGCATCTCCCCGGAATTCCGGTAACTTCATTCGATCCGAGTTCCTTTTCTCATGGTTCTTTTAGGGCATATTTCTTCCTGATGTACTGTTCCATTTCTTAGTTCCTATAGCTTTAGTTGATTGATTAGAATACATAGTCCTTTTCTCATTATTTATTAATTTCGTACATATATCGTTATTGTTCTATCACATTTAAATCGATTTGATGATGTAACATTTACATTCTCTCTTTATAAATAAGAACATATCAAAATATACATAACATGAGATTCGAACACGATTTATAATACGAGAAAATAACTCGAACACAAACACGATATCTGTTCTTATTGTTGATCATCTGGATTCCGTTCCTCTCTTTCCCTGGTATTGGTCAACTCGGTCCCTTCCACAGCATTTTGTTTCACTGAACTCAGTGAGCCAACATTGTGCTCACCTTTGTTCTCATTTTCATTAATCATGGAGCCGTCAGTGATTGGACTCAGGGCGAGTTGGCCAGAATAAAGGAACAAACCAAGAGAATTGAAGCCATAAACAAATGTTGCAAGGTAACACAACCCATTCACAATAGTCCTACAAATCAGCATATTGAGGGATGAGACCAACAATGAATACTACTAACATTATCGTAAGTATCGGATATTTAGAGTTTAAGGTTTAGAGTTTAAGGTTGTAAGATTTGGGATATCTGAAGGTTATTGTTACGGATATTTAGAGTTTAAAGTTTAGAGTTTAAATTTTAAGGTTTAGGATTGTAAGGTTTAGGTTTAAGGGTTTAGGATTTAGAATAACGATCGTTATTTTATCTGATGTAATATTATGTTTTATTTAGTTCTATGAGAGATGACTATTTTGGAAGGAACCTTACCCACTCGTGCATGTGAAAGCCAAGTACGAGCACCAATAATCAATTCCAGGTTGTATAATTACTCCACGTAAGATCACGCCACGTCATCTACCACGTCAATGAACGTCGACGTGACATGACCAGAGATGCCCGAGGTCCAATAATTGGGTACTGCACCTATACAGATTAATAAAATCATGCTATGCGCACCTATACGTATTACGGTGCGCGGTGCGCAGATATCATAGAGAAAAAGGAAACCCAATAAATGAGATGAGACAAATCACGAGTTACTTGAGATTAAATAGATTCGATCAAGGTTTAATAAATACTCGGATCAAATGGACTAGATTCGAGCTCGAGCTCAACTCGAGTTCTTTACGAGCCGAAACGAGCTACTTGATATTCGACTCGAAAAACTAGTGAGCAGTTCGAAAACATAATATATTAATATTTTATTTTTTAAAAAATAAATTATTAATAGTATTAACATTTATGTATTGATTTTTTTTAAAATACAGTAAGATTTTCATGTATTTAAGGTTTAGGTTCGAGTTTGAGGTTTTAATCGAGTTATGTTTAAGAATTTTTCTTCTTCATTTCGAATATTTTCGAGTTGCTCACGAGTTTCAGTTCAGGATTTTTAGTTCGAGTCGAACTTCATTTCAAAGTTTTCGAGTCGAGCTCAGCATTATTCGAGCTCGATTGGTTTCGTTTACACCCCTACGGCAAGATAAAGAAGAGTGTGTCCCGGCACGCGGTACAATGCACCGCAGCTGGAGGGCGGCGCGGCTTACCTCACATTGTCGTCGGGTGCGGTTCGGTAAGTAATCTCTCGATTATTGGGTTTCTTGTTTTGTTTTTTTTTTCTTTTCCAATAAATAATTTTGTGAAAATTCAATAATTTTTATATATAAAAAAAACAATGTGTATTTTCTTCATTTTGTGGTCCTTGTTAAAGTCAACTGCCCTTCGTTCGTTTACCTAGAAGAGTCCGTTCTAAATAATTATGGTATTTGAGTGTTAATTCTGTCACTAAATAATTAAATATTAATTTAATACTAACGTCATGTATCGAATAAATAATTTTAGTGAATATTTAAAAAATAATTGAAGAGACTACGTTACAATGATAATAAAATAAAACATTTATAAAAATCGAACAAAATAAAACTTTAAAATTTATTTTTTGTACTATGGGATAAGTATAAAACAATATATGTTCAAAGATAATTATCAATTTTTCGACATTGAACGCTCACACTTTTGGAATCTATAGTGCTCAACCTCATGTTCTCAAGGAATAACAACAATTCTTTTATCACGGGGACGACTTGTTTCATTTAACATAAAATAAATATAAGGTATTTATTAGATTAAAAGAAATCTTAAACACTTAAAATAAATGAGATATAAAATTTAGGATAAATTATATAAATGATCCATCGACTATAGGATATTATTTTATTAAGTCATTTGACTATTAAAAGTTGCAAAAGAGTTATTTGACTATAGAGTATTGTTTTATTAAGTCTCACGATTATTAAAACTTACAAAATGGTCTCTCAACTATTCATTATGCTCTAAATTCGTCATTTTTTACTAAAAATTAGTGATTGTCTAAGTTGAACGTTAACATGATAATTAAAGTATGATAATCATTTGATATTCTATGATCAAATTTTATCATATCATAGTGAACATGTTAACGTTCAACTCATAATACTAAATACCATCAACTTTTTAATGAAAAATGATAAGTTTGAAACATAATAAATAGTGAGATAACTATTTTATAACTTTTAACAGAAAAAGACTTAACAAAATAATACTCTATAGTCATATGATCAGTTCATAATTTTTAATAATTAAAAAAATTAATAAAATAATATCAAATAGTCGGGAACCATTTATATACTTTACTGCAAAATTTAAATAATTCTTCTAACATAAAACTAGAGAGGAAATGAAAGAGGGATAATATTAACTAATTAGGGAAATTAGGGTTGGAGAAGGGGTTTGACAAGTTGGAAAATAATAGGGGAAGTTCTACCGTGTGGTAGCCTTAATATGCGGTTAAAGAAATATGTTAATTGTTTTGCTATTTTTTTAATAAAATTTGAAAAAAAATTACTTAAAACATTATTATTTCTACCTAAAACATTAATATTTTTTAACATTTCCGGTAAAGTACCCTATAATAATAAAATCGATAGAAAAAATAATAAAATCAGTAGCACTTTACCAGATATGTTAATAAAACTGATAAATCTATCAATAATAACAAAACCGATGTTTCCGATAATTTTATCGACTTTATTTAAAAAATAATAACAAAATCGATAATATTTTTCTTTAACATTATATTAAGAATTTCTCACCTAAGAATTTCCAAAAGAAAACGCAGGGAATTGGGGAAATGAAAGACTGGTGCATGCAGATTGACGAAATGATTTGATGTGAAGCCTGTAATGAAACCTTAAAATGCGAGCACGACACGTCATAATCTCATCCCATCAAACCCTCTAATTGGTGATGGATGGATGGGGTTTGCTTGAGGTGATGCATGCATGCTCATCGAATCCTTTTCTTCTTTTAATAAAAAATTATACCAAAAATCATTAAAAAATATCTGATGCTGGTGAAAGAAATTAACACATTATTATATTTTTAAGCTTAATGATAAAAAAGTTTTTAAGGTTAATTATAAAATAAATGCCTAGTGATTTTTAGAAATATGTTTTTATTTTTTTAATTATCCAGATATCTAACGTTTAAAAACACTATTATTTTAGGTATATGAGTTCTAAACGCTGTTAATTTTCTTTGATAAGTGACATATGTCACATTCTAGTAATTTTAAAAATTTTGTTTAAATTAAAAAAATAAAATACATAAAAATTTAAAATAGTCCAAAAACTTTAAAAAAACATTCATTTCAACCTATAAACCCAAGTCGACTGTCATCCTTTTTCGTTGACGAATCTCCACCGACCTCGCCACTCTTCATCATTCAATAACCCTATGAAATCGTGACCAATCGACGATCAATCAACGTTTTGTACCCTACAAATCCTATGCTGAAAATCACGACCCCACGTGATCTCGACGGCCAATCGACGACAATTATAACAGTGTATGACTAAGAAGATGCCAAGGATTGGAAAAGAGATAATCATATTCTCTTTCTTATGATCCGTCTCAATCGTTCATCATCATCTTCAGTTTGTTAGAGTTTACAGCTCGAAAGTTGTCGTGCATGGCCGTCGGCATACGAAATTCTCATCGAAGCATGATCGGCATACTCCATGTTTCACTAGAAAAGGTCTCGAACTCTATGAATCTAGTCTAGAACACTTTGATTTTCTTTAAAACTAAACTAATTATAATAATAAATTTATCATCAATATTTCTTTAAAACTAATAACATCAAAAATCTAAATATATACTTTGATTTATCCAAAATTCATGGATCAACTCAAAATAAATATTTTTCGATAGCGTGTCATATCATTAAACTAACAGAAACATAACGCTTCAACGATCAAAATAACATAACTTTTTAACATCGAGGACTGGAATAAGATAGATCAAAAACATAAATAACCATACATGTAGTTTACCCAAAGTTTAAATAGCTTTTGTCTATTCTTTATAGATGCCCATACTTGAGCTCAGTCTAGAGTTTCATTAATTTTTCATTTTTTTCAGAAGAAACATAGCGTAGCTGAGAATGTCACCAAACCCAGCACTTAGCATTCAATCCATCAAAGAAACAAGGTAGGGGCCATGGCTGTTGAAGCTTCTGCAATTCCTACCCAAATAAAAGCAATTTTGACATTTTGAACACATTATATTACTAATGTCTGTCCACTCCATCTAGTTGTTTAAATTCAATTGCATTGATGCAATTTGGTTATATTTGAGGACGGACATCAAATTTTATGTTAAGGGTTAGATTAAAAATATTTTACGGTGCGTATTTATAAAATTTTAAGATGACAAAAACATGTTTATTGATAAAAAAGGGTAAAATACGCGTTTAGTATCTAAAATATCATTTTTTTTAAAATCATATCTAAAATTTTGTTTTTGTTTCATTTTTTAGTATCACTTCGTTAACAACTTAACGGATGGGCTGACATGACATAACTCCAGCGGGTGGACGACCAATCCAAATGGTGGACTACGAGAGAATGATGAGTTGGTCAACATTGTATAGTTTCAGACTCATCGGACGATAGACCACGGAGATCAGATGATTAAGAAATCGAAAAGTCCATCATTGATCTGGGG